TATAATAGAAGGTAATATGATAGTGAGGTTCCCTCATAATTGTTGGGGGGGAAATCATATAACTGTATTTTTCGAGTTTAAATAAATGTTTTATCAGCATTTCCATCACGTCTGTTGTGTTGATATTAGTCATGTTGGTGGTCAAACTGAAGTAGTGCGGCAGTGTTCTATACGTGCGCAGTGAAGCGCAATGAAATCAAACGCATTTTTAATCCAAAAATTTCCAATTGCCTGTGTGGAAAATTCGAAAGTCAGCGTCAAAATCCATGGAGTTGTTGTTATGATCCGCCATCATTGTGGTCAAACGGAAGTAGTTCTCACAATAAGATTTGTTAATGCGCGGTGAAGCGGCCTTACAATCAGATGAGCGTCAATCCACAATTGATGCCGTCTGATTTTTCTGAACAACCAATCAGAATCTAGTATTTTCTTGATTCATGGTAAAATTAGGAGATAAACGTACTGTGTTTGGAAATTAGATGAATGTTAGACCGAATCGATAGTCTCTAAATTTTATTTGAAGCCGAACGCGTAGCGTGAGGTTTCAAATGATTAATTTAGAGACTATCAATTCGGTCTAACATTCATCTAATTTCCAAACACAGTATGTTTATCTCCATTCTACCATAACCGATTTAACATCGAACTTCCTCGCCCTGCGGAAGACACTGCGTAATCCGGCATGGGATGAGAGACGAATTGAACTCGTCTGATAAAGGAGTGGTAGGTTCCGTTCTAATTTTTTTTAACATTGCAACATAAAAAATATTCGGTCAAAAGAAAACAAACTACTATTTATTCAATGCAATAATGTAACACCTAAGAGCTTGGTTTTTATAATCATAACTCTACAAGACCGAAACCAGCCTATTGTTTTGTGTGCCGTATTACTGTATCCCCCTGGCCACACTATAATGGAATCGTCTGACCTACTTATTTTCTTGGAAGTAGACAGTTACGCAACAGTTTGAAATGGCGGACGAGCCAGTGTTTACATTTTGCGAAAGGTTGAAATTCGACGTGACAGTGGAAAATACTTGACTGACTGTCGAACCTGAGACCTGCAGAATCGAAGAATAGATCCTCTTCTGATCGACCTATAACCTGTAACTCATCAAAGACTGTTGATTTTAATGACCGGCGGGTGTCGATCATGATTTCACGTACGTACCTCCACCCCGGCATGCAAGGAAGAGTGACAGTGCAGCTTTGTGTACATGCGACTGACCTGGGATTCCTTGGAACATTGTTCTCATCATTTGGGACTGGATTGTGGCCAAGCTTTTCAAAGTGTACGAACATAGCAGTGACAGCCTTCGGGGAAGGTGGCAGAGAACTGAATTTACATGGTTCAGTTTTTGACATTTTGAACGATGCAACGGGACATGATGGAGTATGAGTGGCGAATTTTGTGTTTCGCCTGACCGTTGTCTTGCGAATTTCCCATTCTAAACGGAAACAAATATACCATTTACCAAGTAGGTAAATGTTTACGAACGTTTGCCGCACAAATAGGGATAGATATGGATGTATTTTTACAAGGTTTTCTGATTTATATGTTTGTGTATGTTTGGGGCTGTGTATTGTAATTGTTTTTGAATATTTTTATAATAGGAGGTAATAATTATGATAGTGAGGTCCCCTAATAATTGTGGAGGAGAAATCGTATAATTGTATTTTTCGAGTTTTAATAAATGTTTCATCAGCATTTCCATCACGTCTGTTGTGTTGATATTAGTCATGTTGGTGGCCAAGCTGAAGTAGTGCGGCAGTGTTGTATGCGTGAGCAGTGAAACGCCGTGAAATCAGACGCATTTTCAATCCAAATTGATACCGTCTTATTTTATGGCTTGACCAATCAAATTCGAGCATTTCACGTAGCCATGGTAGAATGAGGGGTTACTGTGTTTTGTTTCCTCAGTGAGTCAGTATGATTGCTGTACAATTCATTGGTATAGGTATACACGTCTTTGTGTTATCTCTGACTGAGACTGAGTGAAAACGCCGTGTACCTGTTGTGTAATGTACACCACTGGTGGTGTCACGGTGCGCTGATAAGGCTACAGAACGTTGCTTAATCTTTATTCAGTTGATTCAGTAGGTAGACTGAACTGAGCAAGTAAATGTTACACATATTTTATTTAGTCAAGGTCCTAGTCATGTTTGGGTCTACCAAGACGCCGGATGTATACCGAGCTTTCTTAGCATTTGTCAGACCAGATTTAAATATACGTACACCCAAGAATGGACAAATATATTAGCATCTAGAACATTATGAATAGCCTTGAAGCAGAGAAATATGTAATAGATTCAATCTTGTGTACATTTGCAACCGACTTTGCTCGGGTTGTAAGTACAAAGCTAACTATTGATATTCAGACATAAAATTGCAAAGTCTGAAAGCGTATGTACAACTTAAACAATGTCGCCTACCTGTATGGCCTTGGCACTTGGAAGCCATGTTCTATCATATTGATCATCACAACAATGAAGGTTTATCCCTATGGGCGATCATTTTACTTGCATCTTTTGCTCTGCTCATAAAATCACACTTCGTTGGGTCAACTGGAAGCTTGTTGACCATTCTAAACAGTTTACAAGAGATGGCATTTATTTGGGTGTGTCAGGATTGACCATTCGGATTAATGGATTAAATCTCTACAGTCACGTTGATCAGTGAAATATGTGCCTATAAAAAGAATGCCTCATTCATTATGCTGCCCTGTGCGTGCTTATTGTTGTATGGTGAGTGCCATACTAGCCAGACCTTCTGATCCAGCCTTCGTTCAGTGCTACAAGGGGCAGCTACGTCCTTGGTCTCGACAGCAATTGGGATCAAAAGTTTAACAGCCTTCTACACAAATGTAGCCTTGACTCTCAATTATACTCGTTCCACAGCTTGAGAAAGAGTGGTGCTTTGCTGGATGCAGCTACAGTGGCTTTTGTGCAATCGTCTTTTGGCCATCGTCGTCTAAAAAGGGATATGTCAAACACTCACCACTCATTCTGTCCCGAGTTTCTGCCAGAATGGCAAAAACATTTAAATAACTTGGTGAATGCAGTGTTTGCGGTGCTTAAATTTTCCCTATGGCCTTCATGGCCTGCTGCCGCCTGCAGGCTATAAAATCTCCAGGCCCATGGTGAAATCTCCAGGCCCATTTTAGAAAGTGGTCAAATGTAACATATGTTCTATTTGGGATTACACTTTCTTAGTAAAGTACCTGATTCTAGTACTTTTGGGTTGTAAAATGCAGGCTATAAAATCTCCAGGCCCATGGTGAAATCTCCAGGCCCATTTTAGAAAGTGGTCAAATGTAACATATGTTCTATTTGGGATTACACTTTCTTAGTAAAGTTCAGATTCTAGTACTTTTGGGTTGTAAAATGCAGGCTATAAAATCTACAGGCAAAGGGCGAAATCTCCAGGCCCATTTTGTTAAAGTCAAATCAATAAAATCAAACTATACTACACTGTACACTTTTTCTCACTGTTTCTACAAAATCAGTTTGCGAAGCCTATGGCGCAGAGAGAGGTTTTTATTTGTTAAAGGCTGGTGTTGACTTTTCTATGCACAAAGCCAGGAAGTGAAACTGTAAGTTATCGTAACATGGTGGATTATGGAGGATTCACGAACGTTAATAAAGAGAACAATTATGGGAAAAATTCCAGTTGAAAAACAAAATGACATAATTTACTGAAGGCCACAAGGGCCTGCACATATGTGAAACTTCCGGCCTGATACAATAACAACCGGCGCTGGGCCTCCGGGCTGGGGAATACTTCGAACAGTCAGTGTACAGTACCTTCCCATGTCGTCACTCGAATTTTTATTCTTAACTTGTCACATCTATATTCACCCATTTCCAGTTTTTGTATTTCCTTGGTTTTCTTTCAGGCTGAAAAACCTTTTAATTTAATTTTTAACGACTGCTCATCAGAAAATGTTTTTTCTTGTAATGATGGATCTGCGTAGCTGTTTGAACTTATATTTTCAACGTGGCTTCATTTTGGTTTAGATGTTATGTTTCACATTTTTACTTTTCAACCTGTTTTGAGAAATAGATATATGGACAGAATGGTGCTCGATCTTTCAAGTGTGTTACCTTTTGGGATCTGTCGGTGGCGATTTCCTTAGTCTACAATCTAGTTTCCCCTTCAATGTTAGTTTCTGCCTACAGTTATATGGTTAATATCACAAGTGGTGAAGTGATGTTTTGTAGACATTTTTACTGTTCAGTTTGGGTTTTTTTATTCTCTCTCCTGTTTGGCGGGCTTTGCCTTGGTGTCTGTGGTGTTTATAGTATTTTAGGTCAGTCTTGGTCTGTGTGATATTTTTCACCTAAACGACGTGTTTACCTATCGTATTAAACTCCACCTAAACCACCAAACAAGTGTTTGTTATCTTCTTAACTGTGTATATGGAGGTCTAGCAAATTGCAAAATCATGTGTCATGATGTCTAATTTGCATATAAACCGGAACTGTCTGTCTTGTTCACTACCACGCATGCGTCCTCTCCTTTCCTGTCATGCATGTGCAGCTTTCTTTTTTATTCCCAACTTATATAATTTTCTTAATCACCCTCCCTCCGTCCCTGCCCTCGTTTTTTTGTATTTAAATATAATAATACTCAGCCTCATGACACATTATTTTATCTTGTTTTTTTTCATTTTGACTCACAGCTCTGTTATTATTTTGAGACATGCTGTGATTATGGTGCCTGTGGTGTTTATAGTATTTTAGGTCAGTCTTGGGCTGTGTGGTATTTTTCACCCGAACGACCTGTTCACTTATGTTATTAAACTCCACCTTAACCACCAAGCAAGTATTTATGTCTGGAGGTCTATCAAATTACGCAAAGAAATAAACTCGATGTATTGCCCCTGAGCTTGGAAGGTATTTCTATCAAAATTATGTATTTTCAGAGACAAAGCGTAAGTCTAGTAGTATTGCATAACAGTCAGCAACAGAGCTCGCCCTGCGCATGCGCAGTGCATATGAACACGTCATAGCTCTGGTGACAATTCTATGCTCGCAGCCGCATATACTTTCAAGTCCAAACAAGGTTAGTACATGTATCAATATTTCACAGAGCATTTTTGCCCACTGACGGACATAGAAGAATGTGTGTAAATCGATAATGGGTGTATTTCGTTAAAACATTGTTTAGAAGCACTGTAAAGGACATGGTCCTACATGCATTTACAATAGACTGACAGGACGGCCATGTTTGTTGCATGCACTGACTTGGGATTGTGGGCTTTTTCAGAGGTTCGGTCGGAATCGTACAATACAATCAGATTTTGTCGTAAATTATGATTATGGACGGGTTGTCTCCTTCCTATTTACAGTAAAACTTTTGATCAATAACACGACACTAAAGAGCGAAAGCGAAAATAGGAAACTTTTCAGAGGCTATTCGCGGAATCATATGCGTCATAGGACCTCGAATGTATTTTATTGAAAATACGAAAAAGTATATTATTCCACTTGTATATCATGTACATACTGACTGAATATTAAATAAAACGAAATATTCTGTCTGTATATTTTTTCAAATTAAATAAAATGTAGTTGTTTCTGAAAATACAAATGTGTGAAAATACACTGGAATTCCGAAGGTACGATGGAAGGAGTGAGAGATGTTTGAGTTGACGTTTAGACTGGATTATAGCTTTATAATACCTATAACGTATACTCTATATCTATGTACCATCTACGTGTACTTCAGACTTTAAACAGGCAGGGCATTGAACGCGTTGTATTTTAATGCACTGACTGCAGTGTTGTCACCGACATGTCTGGCATTTTTAGTAATTTGTGTTTCCTGGGTGAGTCAAAATAATTTCTGTACAATTAATACTTACTGGTACACACGTCTCTTTGTTTATCTCTGACTGAGACTGAGTGAAAACGCCGTGTACCTGTTGTGTAATGTACTCCACTGGTGGTGTCACGGAGAGCTGATAAGGCTACAGAACGTTGGTTAATCTTTATTCAGTTGATTCAGTAGGTAGACTAAATTGAGCAAGTAATGTTAGACATATTTTATTTAGTTCAGGTCCTGGTCATATTTGGGTCTACCCAGACGTTGGATGTATAGCTAGCTTAACATTTTTCAAACCAGATTAAGATATACGTACACCCAAGAATGGACAAATATATTAGCCCATAGCACTAGACATGCACGTTTAAAGATTTGCATTGAAGCAGGGAAATATGTAATAGATTCGACCTTGTGTATATTTGCAAACGACCTTGCTCGTGCTCGAGGATGTACAAGGCTAAATATTGATACAAGGAGACCTCATAAACTTGCAAAGTCTGAAATAGTATGTACATGTAAGTTAAACAGTTTCGAAGATCTGTACCATTTCACTCTATATGTCTATCTTTAACGTTCGACAGCAATACATACCAAATAAACATTCAATTTGACCGTCAGCACAACAATGCATATGCCCATGGTAACCACAAACTATCAAGATTTAAGATTTGTTATGTTATGCTTCAAATATTTCTTCAAGAGCAGAAATGAAATGCGAATCTTTGTGAAAATATTGACGCATATGCACTTCATGAATGTGGGCCTATGGCCTTTGATACAATAAACGTTCGATAACACGGTGATGATTGTGATGTTAGACTGATGGCGCGTTATCGGGTTCCTATCACCGGTTTATCTGATCTGGATTTCGTGGAGGTTGTACTGGAGTTTGCTGATTGAAATGCTAAAATTCACTCACTCACTCACTCACTGTTAGTTGGTTATTCTACCGTATTTGCCTATACTTCTTTAACACAGCAGGTACCACTCGATTGGGGTTTAGGATGAAGGTATACGGGAATAGAGGATGCAGAATGTTAGAATATAGAAACAACTAAAATATTCGAGATTACAGTGCAGATCATTGCAATACGTTTCAGAATACCATCTTTTGGTTTCAGAAAGAGATGCGACGGTGTTTTGGTGACAGACAAAGACATAATAGGAGTGGAGAGAGAAGGAATGCTACACCTGTAAGAGATGGTACAAAGCTACTACAGCCTGGTGCCATCTGCGGCAGGAATAAAGGTGTCTCGGATATTGAGATGGACAGAGGTCCGGGTGCTGGTGTCTCCGAAACTGAGAAGGAAAGAAGTGGGGGTGCTCATGCCTCCAAAACTGAGAAGGAAAGAGGTGAGGATGCTGGTGTCTCGAAAACTGTGGACAGAGGTCGGGGGGCTGGTGTCTCCGAAACTGAGAAGGAAAGAGGTCGGTATGCTGGTGTCTCCAAAACTGAGACGGAAATAGGTCAAGGTGCTGGTGTCTCCGAACCTGAGGAGGAAAGAGGTCGGGGTTCTGGTGTCTCCGAAACTGAAAAGGAAAGAAGTCGGGGTGCTCATGTCTCCGAAACTGAGAAACAAAGAGGTCAGGATGCTGGTGTCTCGAAAACTGAGGACAGAGGTCGGGGGGCTGGTGTCTCCGAAACTGAGAAGGAAAGAGGTCGGTATGCTGGTGTCTCCGAAACTGAGACGGAAAAAGGTCAAGGTGCTGGTGTCTTGGATACTGAGAAGGAAAGAGGTCGGGGTTCTGGTGTCTCCGAAACTGAGAAGGAAAGAGGTCGGGGTGATGATGTCTCCGAAACTGAGAAGAAGAGAGGTCAGGCTGCTGGTGTCTCCGATACTGAGAAGGAAATAAGTCGGCGTGCTGGTGTCTCCGATACTGAGAAAGAAAGAAGTCGGTGTGCTGGTGTCGTGGAGACTAAGGTGGACAGAGGTCAGCGTGCTGGTTCAGCTGGTAAAAGGAAAATATACAAGGCTTTTGGAGAGGAGGAGGGAGAATGTTTTGGTGGTGGAAGAAAATGGAGGAGAGATCAAAGTACCATTGGAGGTGGAGATAGAGGAGACATTGAAGACGAAAGTGGAGGAGAAGACGTTGTTGATGGCAAGCAGGGAGGAAGTTGGGAGAGATTGCACTATGTGACTGCAGGTGGAGATAGAACTGTTCTTCGTGGAGGAAGAAAAAGACGAGACAAAGATCTCACTGTTGATGGAAAGCAGGGAGAATATGAGAGGTTTGGAGGAAGATGGGGGAGAGATGAGTACATCCTTGGAGGTGGAGGAGGCGCTATTGTCGGTGGAGGAAGAGAAAGAAGAGGCAGAAATGGCTCTGTGGGTGGAGAGCAGGGAGAGTACGAGAGGAAGGAAAGAGGTCAGCGTACTGGTGTCCTGGAAACTGAGAAGGAAACAGGTCAGGGCTCTGGTGTCTCCGATACTGAGAAGGAAAGAAGTCGGTGTGCAGGTGTGGTGGAAACTGAGGTGGACAGGGGTCGGGGTGCTGGTTCAGCTGAAAAAAGGAAAATAGACAAGGCTTTTGGAGAGGAGCGTGGAAATTGTTTTGGTGGTGGAAGAAAATGGAGGAGAGATCAAAATACTTTTGGAGGTGGAGATAGAGATAGAGGAGACATTGATGACGAAAGTGGAGGAGAAGACGTTGTTGATGGAAATCAGGGAGGAAGGTGGGAGAGATTGCAGTATATGACTGGAGGTGGAGACAGAACTGTTCTTCGTGGAGGAAGAAAAAGACGAGACAAAAATCTCACTGTTGATGGAAAGCAGGGAGAATATGAGAGGTTTGGAGCCAGATGGGAGAGAGATGAGTACATCCTTGGAGGTGGAGGAGGCGCTGTTGTCGGTGGAGGAAGAGAAAGACGGTTCAGAGATGGCTCTGTTGGTGAAAAACAGGGCGATTGTGGTGATGGCGGTGGTAAAATATGGAAGAAATACCATTACAACACTGAAGAAATTGATAAAGGAAACGATGACGTTTGTGCAGGAATAGAGTTAGGACTCGGAGATGGTGCTGTGTTGGGAATGCAGGGAAAATGTGATAGCAATGAAGAAAAAAGGAGAGGAGATCGTTGTACTGAAGGAAGAGAAGTAGATGGCACTGTCAAAACAGCGCAGCCACAATACGTTGATGGTGGCAGAATGTGGACAGGAGATTACATCAAAAGAGAAAGAATTACGAAAAGACAGGACAGCGAAAGAGGACAAAGACTGAGCGTAGATGATGGCGACAGACACAGAACAGATGCTGTTGATGGAGATGGACAGAACCTGATGGTGGACATCGTTGCAGATGTTACCAATGTGCAGAACGGCCATTCCAACATCATAGTACATCAAACAGTACATGTCAAGAATCTGATTGGTAGGTATTTTCGTTATGATTTACCGTATGCGTTAACTGTAGATCCATTCTCTTTATATGATACATGTCATTAGCGCGACAACAGATGTTCAGAGTGTTAATATTTTATAATGTTGACGGAAATAACCTGTTGAATAGAATATCTGTTCATCTAGACCCATATATTTCAGATAGTACATATGCTTTTCTCCTTTTGATATACAAGAAATGCGTTTCGCTAAAAATGACTTCACAATTTTGAAATTGTGTAAATCTGCTTGTTTGAATCTCTGGATGTTTCTTTACTCAACATCTCCCATGAATGACATTGTGTTGATGGAAAGGGTCATACATGGTAGAATTGTAATTACTCAGAATTAGGTTTTAATGCAATTATAAACAAAGTCAGGTGATTTAGATAGCCTAAAGGTCCTCTGTTGATTATTGTTTCAGTAATGCCAAGACGTGTTGGAAGAAGTAGGAAGCTTCGGTCAAGGTCACGGAAGGTAGCCACAAGATGTACGCAGACTGTTGGTGAGGTGGCCAAGGTCACGCGAAATACAGAGACGGTTGGTGAGGTGGCCAAGGTCACGCGACGTTCACAGACTCTCGGTGAGGTGTCCAAGGTCACGCGACGTTCACAGACTCTCGGTGAGGTGGCCAAGGTCACGCGACATACACAGACTGTTGGGGAGGTGGCCAAGGTCACACGTCAAACCAAGTCTGTGAGACGCTACTTGAGGCCACACTGCCAAGATCAGAAGGTCAAAGAAAATCTCACGATTTGGTTCCACGTTTTAGTTCAAATCGAGATCCTGGTGGTCCTGATCGTGATGATGTTCATGCAGCATTAATTCAATCCGAACATTTGCTGCAAAATACGCGTGCGCAGGAGGGTGTATAACAATTCAAGAGTGTGTTATATGCCGGAAATGTGTAAAACAGTTGTTTACTTGAAATAGGAATACGACACGTAGATTTTGCAAGTAATATTATGAAAATAGAATTCAGATTGAATTCATACCTTCCGAAAAAATATTTATGAGATTTATGTTCAACTAAGTGATCTACGTATTTGTAAACCACATTTTCAAGTTCAACATTTTGCCTGGATATCTTCCAATGAAATGTTAAACTTGCAAATATAGTTTACAAATACGTTAGATCACCCAGTTAAACATGAATCTCGGAAATATATTTTCAGAAGGACAGAATTCACTCTAAATTTTATTTTTATAATATTAAACAAAATCAATGTGTCCTATTTCAACTGAAACAACTGTCACACGTTCCCGGCATCAATTCTGCGCACGCCGGGGTGGGGACGAGGGAGTGGGGGAGTGGGTTGGGTGGCTCTTGTGGGTCAGGGTGGGTGGGTTAACATATTCCTGTATGGAATACAAGTGTAAGCCGCATCGGCTAAATCACTGCGTGTGCAGTACATTGTATTCCTGTTGTTAAATAACACATTATTTAGCACCGGAACAGATTCCGTATCCTCAAAGAGGAATTTTGTAGATACTTCTAGATGTTTAGCAAGTATTTGTCATGCCAATTTTAAGCATGTACTGTTATCAGCTTGTCAACGAACTGCATAGTGTAACCCTTTATACTGTGTACCTCACAATAAAACAGTCGAAAAGAAAGCCTTTCTGTGTATTATATGTGTATGATAATATTTAGATGTGTATTTAAGGATCTCTCCATATGATGAACGGAGTAATGCACAACAAAGTCTGGATTCTGTTTCAGTGGCGAATAGATGCCGTCATTTGGAATCTAAAACGTCATAACAGAATTTGACAAACATGGCGGCATATCAGCTTCACGAATCAGCTGCCATTTAGTCACTGTCGGTTGCCTGTTTTAGTGAACCTCGTGACCACATGCATGGTGTCGACAAACTAACCAATGATCGTAATCGAATCAGGGTTCGAACTACCAGTATGGACCAGATGTTCCCAACTGTTTCCCCTAAATACACGCGTCATTATCCCACGATGACCTGAGTGGCCTCGCCAAGCCGAATCATTCAAGGTGTGGCAGTCATCACTTTGACGTCTTGTCAACGCATATATAATCCGATATAACATGTCAATAGCTCTGTATGCATGTTGACTGTGTATTTAGTACAGTATTGTGACTTCCATAGGTTTCTATAGAGCATGCTAATGGTTACCGTTGAGACGTCGGATTGAGAGCTACTCCACAGTTCAGTACAAGATGTCCTACCTCTGTGACACATGCCTCGGCCTGCTACCAGTTGACGCCAACAGTTAAGATGGCCAGGCTTTATTTACCTGTGTTTACTGTAAGAGGAACTCAAAATACACGTACCACCATTTTCTAACACATACCGACATGTGTGCCGTGAAGAAGAAAGTGTGTTTCCAGATTCCCTCCTGTGCATGTCACAGGAAAGTGCAAGATGGGCGACTGACAGTTTCACTCATGCCACATGACGGATAAGACGTCCTCTTTCAACGTAAAGAGAGTTCTAGATGATATACCTAGAGACATTTTAGCCAAGTTTAACAAGACCAAGTCAAAGTCGAGAAAACCACCCTTGAAGAAAACAAGGGCACCAAACAGGAAGCCGCAGAAGAAGAGACAGGTTGCACCTAAGAATAAGAAGAGACAGGTTGCACCTAAGAATAAGAAGAGACAGGTTGCACCTAAGATTAAGAAGAGACAGGTTGCACCTAAGATTAAGAAGAGACAGGTTGCACCTATGAATAAGAAGAGACAGGTTGCACCTAAGAAGAAGAATAAGAGACAGGTTGCACCTTAGAAGAAGAAGAGACAGGTTGCACCTTAGAAGAAGGACCAAAAGACTGTACTGAATATACAGCCTGTGAAAATACAACATGCGTCGGAGATGAGGGCTGTGGTGGAACGGGAACTAGCTGTCTTGAAGCGTCAACAAGCAGCCTTAAACTATCGCATGGGTGAAGGGTATAAAAGAAAGCTTCAGACCTTCTAATTGCATACCGTATTAGATCACCATGGGGGATGCCACCTGTGAGAAAATATTTTCAAGGAGAGATGTCATGTTACGACACAGAAGAAATATACATAACATAAGACATCTCAGTTACACCCTTCTCCGCCGCCGCCACAAGTCCAGCCACCACCGCCGCAAGTCCACCCGCCGTTACAAGTATACCAACTATCTCCTCCGCCGCAAGTCCACCTGCCGTTACAAGTCAACCCACTATCTCCGCCGCCGCAAGTCCACTCGTCGCTGCCTCATTTACCCAGTACGTCGGATGTTCGAGAACGATTCAAATTCCTGATTCCCTCCAATGTGCTCGTGGTGGGAGCCAGTGGCTGTGGAAAGTCTGTGTTTACCTTTCATCTGATACGACATGGCCATTATATCAACACATCCGCGAACAGCTGCCTCATGTGACGTTTGTGAAAGGAATTCCCTACGATATATTGGACGGGGATTACTTTGATGCTCGTCAACGGAACGTCTTGGTGTTGGATGATTTCCTGGCCGAAGCAAAGTATGACAAGTGTATTTCACGGCTGTTCATTCAAACCTCCCATCACAAAAATGTACTGATCTTTCTTCTACTACAAACCCTGTTTCGAGAGACATTGCTTTGAACGCTCATTATGTCAGCTTATTTCATTCGCCCATAGATAAACATCAAATCAAAGTTTTTGCCTGGAGAACTTTCCCCGAAAACATGGATCACTTTATGGCCATGTATGAAAAAGCAGCCGAAAAACCCTTTGGACAACTCACCATCGATCTGAAACTTAGCACGAAAGACAAGGATCGACTGCATGTCAACCTCATAAATGATGACAACGGGAGAGCAACAGCACAGTCCGAACCCGACCTGCTGACGGACCAGTTCGCCAAGAAAATCGGATATATAGGCAACACAAGCAAACTACTCTTATGGGACTTCAAAATATAAAAATGTACAATACATCTACTCTTACCTATAATGTAATACATACGGTAAACGTTTTATCGCTTCACTGCATGGTTAAACAAACGCGTGTGTCCCGAATAGAACTCGAAGTTAATGTTGTGTCGCTGGTTGTTGAGGCTGGAATGACTCTCTGTTATTTAGGGGTGGTGTTCTTGAGGATGTTTCTCGCGGACATAAGATTGTACATTCAACAGCCCCCAAACCGTTGTGACACAAGCCCGTCCGCTCGGGTGGCATTTAAGTACTTTCAACAAACACACACACACACACACACACACACACACACACTTTGGAGTAGATAGCTGGGAGAAATTAGGTCGGTGCTCACAGGTAAAAATAATGCAGAAGCTGAGGTCGCTAGCTGAAATAGGTAGATTTTGTTTGCCATAGCGCCTCTAGAGCGATGTATGTGTTAAACCACGATTCATCTGTATACGCCACTGAGTGGCAAAGGAACAACTACGCTCTTGTGATAAAGAGAGCTTATCAGGGACCTTGACATACCTGAATTTCCAAGAATTGCTTCTCTTCGATGGTCACGTACATGATAGCTGTTACGGTTAATAATTTGCCGTGACAAAAGGTTTAAGAGTCCCCTTTGAACCAGCAAAATACAACAAAGACAAGTCTAAAATATTCAATAATATATTGAACAACAATCAGCAAGCTACAAAGAATGGCAATATAGATTTCTAGTACAATGCAATTGAGTCACAAATCTAAAATATTGGGTCACAAATATAAAATATTAACTCACCAGAGTCTTAACATTCACGGCGAGAACACATATACTGATTGAAGGTTGTTTAATTATAACTTAATCAATGTGTTATTACAAATTACAAAACACACACTCTCATAACATAGTATTATATTCTTTAAGATATTGAAGAGAAATAAGGAAGGAACTTTCAGTGTGGTTCCGGAGGCTTTCTGCGCTGCAAATGATTCACAATTAAACAAAAATCTGCTTCGTATACTGCGGCTTTGCTATGACGTCATGCATTCATGTGCATATTCATGTGTTTTCATGCCTTATTACGATCACGTGACTTGGATGAGCCAATCAACGTCTGATCCGGGTTGATCCGGCAAAAGGAGGATTGGAGGACCCCTATGGGACACCTTATCAGGATCTGAAGATACATTTGCATATCCATGTTTATTTTCTTACCACATTGTCTGTCGTCATAGCTACGATTCATTAACCTCGCCGACCTATTACATACGGCAATTCATTTGAATATATATTATGAGTTTTCTTACCTTACTGTCGTCATATCTACGATTCATTAACCACGCTGACCTGTGACTATATATAGCATTCATTTGCATATTCACGAGTTTTCTTATCTTGTCGTCGTCGTCATAGCTCTGATTCGTTCACCACCTCGCTGACCTATGACGTCCGGCATTCATTTTGCATATTCATGGGTTTTTCATGCCTTCACTAAGGTCACGGGATTTGGATGAGCCAATCAACATATATCTACGATTCATTAACCTCGCCGACCTATGACGTCATGCATTCATTTGCATATTAATGAGTTTCATGCATATCAATGACCCATATGTTAAATCAACACCGATCTACAGCAATCTACACCGATCTGCATTATTTATTGATTGTCACTAGTCATGGTTGGTAAAGTATGAATGGATGGTTGACAATGACACGTGAGGAATCACGATAATATCTCCATGTTGAATTGCCGGCCCCTACGAAACTTGAGGCAGATAGCATCACGTGACATTATACAAGCCTGCACGGTAACATGCACACCTCGGAATGCACCTAGCTGATTGCTTAACAATGACGTAGCTATTTGAAACAGGACAGTATATAAGAGCTGACAGTCACCCTTAATTCGTGGTGTTTTATTCAGAGAGGGGTTTGCAGCTAACGTTGTTTCGACCAGGCTCTGTGGTAGGCAGGACAGGTAAGTGTCACTTTCTTCACTTTACTTTCCTAGCTTGTCCAAGACTGAATTCCGTCATGAAAGTTACCGACAAGTGTTTCAATATCTCAGTTATATTATTATAGTATAGTATATTTATATAGCGCACATATCCACGCAACTAGAGCATGCTCAAGGCACTGGTATTTTTCCCTCGATCATTGGATGTCAATCTCAACGGTACATCGTATTATCAATCTCATCTCCTGGGGAGTATACAACTCTTGCTGCCACTAGGCGCACCGAGTTATTGTGGCTTTCTCATCTTGATGTGGCCACCATCTGGTCATATACCAACGGATTGGTGGGTTCTTTTAAGTGCACAGGGTTGTGTACTGTACACTAGGGGTTGTGACAACACGGAAAGAGTCTGCACACAAAGTTGACTCCAAGGTTTTTACACCCGCTCACAGGTGGGCTCGATCCCGGCACCTCAACCTCGCTGGATCACTAGCCTGGCGCCTTAGCCAGCTCGCCCACCGCCCACCTTACGACCATAACAAAGGCATTTGACAGTGATTCACTATCAAATTGGGGGCGGTGGGGTAACCTGTTGGTTAAAGCGTTCACGCCGAAGACCTAGGTTCGACTCCCTACCCGGGTTCGAGTACAATGAGTGAAGCTCTTTTCTTGTGTTCCCCCGCCGTGATATTGCTGGAATACTGCTAAAAGCGGCGTAAAACTAAACTCACTCACTATCAAACTGTGTTGGCATATGGCGTTTTCCAGCGTATCCTGGCACTCGTCACAAACACATGCGAAGACACGGCAACTCTCATACACCCTCGTATGCATACACATATAGCATTACGGCATACATCAATACTATAGATTGACCCACTGCAAAGGCTGCAGCAAACAGCTGATGAAGTGAACTCCTGTCTGTCCTGGTTGCTGCCTTTTTAACATGTAATTTATACAGGTCAAATTACGTGTGTCCGTTTATATTAAGGGTAAAAATGTACGTAGATTTCTAACAATTATAGAGTGACTTACTTCAATCAGAGTATTGGATGTCCTTCGCAAGACCTTTGGTATGCAATATAAGTTACTATTCCATGAAATCGTTTTAAGATTTGTCTTTGTAAAGCTGATATAATTCTTTCTACATTTCATCACAGAGACAACGGCGAGTGGTGACATACGAACCAGGGATCTGTTCAAACTCCGGGGCAATGTCTGAAGCTAGGGGGGCGCACCACGTCGCACCGTCTGGCTTCGAGCCAAACAAACAATTAGAGTACAGTTCTCAGCATATGAATGACCAAAATACATGTCTTTCAGAGAAAGGTAGAAAAGGAAAGATGAAACATGCCAACCAGTCTTTACAATCTGACCAAAAGCCAGACAGCTGTAAGATGCGTCTCTGTAATCGTCCTCAAATCGATATACTGCGCATTGTACAAATCGGGCACAATAGAAACACAATTTCCTTTATTCAAAAGAAAGACTCCAATGCTAGCCTTAGCAATACAACTATTGTACAACTCGGGCACAACAACATTGTATATATATACTTAGATGACAAACTCCCCACGAACATACTGCTAGGAGACACGGTCGTCGTGTACGTCCCCCCTGGGTGTGACGGCAGGCCCCGGGTGTTTGTCTGCGAACAGAGAGGACCTGACAACCAGATCGTCACCCACTGTCGCCACAAGTCGCCACGGATCTTTGAACGACAGACATTCGGAAACTTCCGGTCACGATACTGTCACATGATCAGATCTGTCCTGCTGCCAACTGCTTCCGGCTCCAGAAAGAAAGGTAAGTGTTGCCATGGACGGATGACATCTTAGAACTATATCGCACATAACAGTACCGTATGCGTCTACCACAAAACGTTTTGCATGGGTTCCCTGAGTCAAGAACATGACAATAATAAAGATATAGAAGTTTGCAGTAATGTTCTGAGAGAGTGTACATTTGTTTTTAAAAAATGGTATTTGAAAAATATTTGTGTGTGAAAACATTGTACATAGGGCACACTGACATAAAATGTAACTCGTCTTTATAATGTATTTTCTAAAAGGATAACATGTAATGTTTCAAACAATACCCTCCGGCGAGCCAAGCTTTTGTTTTCCTAGTTTGAAATTCTCAAATTCTTAATACTGATGAGTATTTTGTTAGGTCTCTTTAAAAAAATGTCTAAGTACTTTTAGTAAAATTTCAATCATGTCACAATACGTTATCACTGAGTTTGCTCCTAGCCGGGTTATGGTATCATTTGCATTTTAATTACTGTAACAATGTCATGATCATGATACACAATACAATAACAGTAACCGAATTGCAACACTATTACAACATTGTATTAATAATGCTATTTAAGTGTCTGGGACCCCCATTTTGTTGTCCAGGACCCCTGAAAATTCAGAGTATGAGTCCAAGGGACCCTCAAAGAAAATCCTTGTCATGGTAATCCAAAACTAGGAATTGATGCGCAGATGATCGACCATTGATTTAATCCAGTTTCATCCCACACACTCACCCACTAACACTCACCCACTCACTCACTCACTCAAGAAGAGCAAAATATATGAACACTGAACCAACATAATAGCCATTGGTGTAGACATTGGTTTTTTCGAAACGTGTATAAATATGTTTCCATCTTGTCAGCTGCGGACCGTCACAAGCCGTTGACTCCCGGGGACTGCGATGTCGTGACCATCAAGCATAGCGGCTGGATGGCGACTCACAAGAAGAAGATTGAAACCTCATAGTAGGAAATACCCGCTTCTTCATCCCATCGGGGTCAAGGACACCAGAAAACCGTGAACCCTGTGTGGCTTCTCTTATCAGAAATAGAGATATATTCACAGACCCTTTCGAAAAAAACGCATATTCCAGTTAGGGATACCTTGTAAGCCATATTGGCTCAAGTCTAAGACATTTTTACATTCCCTAGGCATAACTTGCAGGCATACAGGCATACTTGTTAGTATAAATATATTGCACATTTATATTAAGCATATGTTATGTACCCTTGTAAGCCATATTGGCTATATCAATAACAACTGTAAGTATATTATACATAACTTGCAATGTTAGTATATGTTGTACTGCGACCTTGTATAACATATACACATGTATATTTATCATATACCATGTGTTCCTGTAAGCCATATTGGCTATATCAATAACAACTGTAAGTATATTATACATAACTTGCAATGTTAGTATATATTGTACTGCCACCTTATATAACATATACACATGTATATTTATCATATACCATGTGTTCCTGTAAACCATATTGGCTATATCAATAACAACTGTAAGTATATTATACATAACTTGCAATGTTAGTATATGTTGTACTGCCACCTTATATAACATATACACATGTATATTTATCATATACAATGTGTTCCTGTACGCCATATTGGCTATGTCAATAACAACTGTAAGTATACTATACATAACTTGCAATGCTAGTATATGTATTGTACTTCTAGATGACATACATACATATCCTGTATATACTATGTTCCCTTGTAAGCCATATGGCTGCAAATAGTCTTATATTCAATCTTATGAAAAACACACATTTCAGTGCTTAATATTACACCGTACCACTGTAGTGTGTTACATCGGTAAGGCACTGATCTGGATGTTAACGTGTGTCACTGTAATTTAGTCGTGTCACTGTAATTTAGTCGTATCGTGAGACAAAAACATGTAAAATCATGATGATATACAGTTTACCTCTGTCAGATTGAAAGCCTCGTTGTACCACTGTCAGATTGAAAGCCTCGTTGTACCACTGTCACATTGAAAGCCTCGTTGTACCTCTGTCAGATTGAAAGCCTCGTCGTACCTCTGTCAGATTGAAAGCCTCGTTGTACCACTGTCACATTGAAAGCCTCGTTGTACCTCTGTCAGATTGAAAGCTTCGTTGTACCACTGTCAGAGTGAAAGCCTCGTTGTACCACTGTCAGATTGAAAGCCTCGCTGTACCTCTGTCACATTGAAAGCCTCGTTGTACCACTGTCAGATTTAAAGCCTCGTTGTACCACTGTCAGATTGAAAGCCTCGCTGTACCTCTGTCACATTGAAAGCCTCGTTGTACCACTGTCAGATTGAAAGCCTCGTTGTACCACTGTCAGATTGAAAGCATCGCTGTACCTCTGTCACATTGAAAGCCTCGTTGTACCACTGTCAGATTGAAAGCCTCGTTGTACCACTGTCAGATTGAAAGCCTCGTTGTACCACGGTCAGATTGAAAGCCTCGTTGTACCGCTGTCAAATTGAAAGCCTCGTTGTACCACTTTAGTTGAAATCTATGCCACAAAGAGAACATGTGTGTCACCATTTGCACATGTGACACACATTTAGACATTGTGTACATGAATAAAATGTCTAATGAATCTATATCATTGTTTTTCTATTATTTAAAACTATCTGTATTGAGACATATAGGTCCAAGTCCTTTCAAACAAACATCTTGACATTGTACCTATATTGCAACCACACAGTAGAACATCGCATTGGTACATCTTGGGTATATATAACTAACGGTGCTGCTAAAACCTTTGTATTTGATCGATATCTCACTGGATATATCTCATATATCACACATGGTGCAAGCTAAAATGTACTCATGGACCGATAAAAACGATTGTCTGAAGTATCCAACATAACTCCATCACAGCTGTGTTAGAGACTGATGTCCGGGAAACCATTTCGTTGGTTTGTTGGTTCGTCACACTGCACTCAGCAATATCCATGCTATATGGCGGCGCTCTGTACATTATCGGGTCTGGGCCTGACAATATCGTGATCATCATCATGAGCATCGATCTACGCAATTGGGATACGATGGCATGTGTCAACCAAGTCAGCGAGTCTGACCACCCGATCCCGTTAGTCGCCTCTTACGACAAGCATAGATTACTGAAGACCAGTTCTAACCCGGATCTTCACGGGTTCGGGTAATCAATAATCCTGCAGAGTGAAACACAAAGGGATTTTTTTTTTATCTACATCAGAGCATATGCTATATAAGAAGCATTATCTGATGCCATCTGATACCAAAACAACAATGGTATTTTTGGAATCATCAGTACTCATCAACGACCAAATTAATAACCCAACATAACTGTTAACTCTTTAAACAAAGTCACAGCCAACTAAAAAACATTATGCAAACTTGCTGCATGACTGGAAGAAATAGAATCGTGGCGAGAGCATTCGGTGTGTCTACACTTTGGTAAGTGAACCTGTGGCATGGTACGTCACGTGACCGACCTAAATCAGACTGATCCCGCGTCACAACGTCATCCTGCGACAACCCTATCTCCACCATGGCTACACAGCTGAATCATCGACTACAGCAGATTCTGGGATTGCCAAAGACATCAAACCAGACATTGGTGAACCACCTTTGAGAGGTTGGGGTCAGAGCCAGACCTGCTGTAACACGTGTACCGTTGTTCAGGGTACATCTTTACCCTATAAGGCTCTTTTCAGTAGAACTTATCAACGGGTTGTTTTGAGAACGTAATGACGAGAATTATGTGTTTCTTTCAGTTTCATTCAGCTTGATCTTAAAAGGGTTTGTAATTGCAATTTTCATACGAACGTCCTAAAAATAACAAAGCATGATGCATGTTATGTTCCATATATTTTAGGGCGGAACAAATATTTTAAAATATTAAATTTCATACAATCATGTCTTGCATTGCCTTCGTTAGTTGCATATATTCCGTAATATTTCAGTTAATCCCCAAGTTAATGTACAGAAGTGTAAACGACTACCACCTATCTGAACCTGCTGCTGAATCACGACGAATCATAATCAGTTCCAATCTGGGACTCGAACCCATGACAAGAGGCCCAAATCCAAGCCCAGTTTAATACAACAAGTCACCTATCCTCATCGCACTACTAAGTCGGTGGTGTAACAATAAATGTTATTGTGTCAATGTGTTCTTTCTTCAAAGACTCCATGGTGTCGGTCGGTTCCACCTGGCCTTTCTTAGCCTGACTGCAGCACACCACACTTCCAAATATAATCAGTCCAAGGAGCACCGTGCTCCCGAACCCGCCGACCGCCACCAGGAACCCGCTGCCAAGAACGTCAGCTGACTCCACCGGAGTTGCAGTTGTAGTCGTTGACGTAGTTGTGGGAATTTGAACATGAACGCGGAATGTTTTCTCGTCCTTTCCTTTATCGTTGGCAGCCTGAACTGTCCATAACCCGTCATAAGAAGCCTCAGCAGTCAAAACAGTGCTGACATCCCTTGTTGTCGTATACCGGGGGTCGAAGATGGAGACACTTGAAGCTGAGATTATGGTCCCGTCGGGTCTCATCCAGGTCACATTCGGAAACAGATCACCCTCAATCTGACATGAAATGTGTAGCAGATCTCCCTGTTTCACGGTATAGAGATCCCCGCACTTTAGAATTTTGGGGGGAATACAAGTGAAGTCCTTATCTTCTGCATGGTAAATCGTATGGTATTTCAGTACACTTGGAGCAGCGCATGCCGGAACATTTCCCGAGTACACGGAGTACATCACGCTCTGGTTGAGGTTCTTCAGCCACTGAATGTCGCATGTACATCTCCAGGGGTTGTCTGAAAGATGGATGATCTGCAGCTTCTGGAAGATCAGCTCGAACGAATCAGGAATAGTTGCTAATTTATTGTCGGACAGGTCTAGAGTCTTAAGGCTTGTCAAATGTTGAAATAATTGCACAGATACCTTTTCAAAATTGTTTCCATGGAGATCAAGGTTTCTGAGATTTGTCAGCCCAGTGAATATGGCACTGGAAGCACGTCCAAGGTTGAGGTCACCCAGAAATAGATCATGCAGGTTCTTTAAGGAAGCAAATGCGTCATCGGCGATCTTACATCCCGTGTTTCCAGTCAGATCCACGAAGACAACATCATTTAAGCCATGGAAGATGCCAGTGTTTATCTGGGAGATCTTATTATGTTGTAGGGCAATACGTTTTAGTTTAGTTAATCCTTGAAACAAGTCATCGTCTAACTTTGTCACCTCACTGTAAGTAACGTAGAAATCTTCAAGATTCGAGAACGCTGACAAAGCTGAGTGTTTCAATGTTGATAGAGAGTTTCTGTTATTAAAGGAGCCAAGCAGGTTAATGCTGGTGGTGTTTGCAGGTAGACCTATCGGAAATGACGTCATCTTTGGCTGACACGTCACATAATCTGAAACAGCACAGATACAGTTGCTAGGGCAGGTTTGTGACGTCATATATCCGAAGACACAGGCCAGTAGGAACGCCACAGAAGACAAACGTTTGACGTAGTAGTTGACCATGATGAACGTCTCTGGACTCAAGACACTGCCACGATGTCGTCATTGGGAATATCGAGAATGTCCTACAATGACAGAATAGTCAATACAACATGTATGACATGACTTGATAATCGCCATTCTACAGTATCATTGGTTAACTGTTGTCAACGAACACATAAGACAAAATAGACATATGTTTGTAACGGATGCTATCATTTAGCAGGATACGCGAACCTCTTTACGAACATACGTTATGACATTAACACAATCCAGTAATTGACACCAAGATGGCAGAGCATGTTTGTAAATCACTTTCAAATAGTGATGTTACCAGGTGTTCGCCCCAATATAACACCCGTCATAAACACACGCAAAGGCTAATAAAGAATATGAAAAGGGTTTTGACACTTCTATATAGCTGTATAGCTGACATGTTTACTTAGTCTTCTCTAGTAGATTGAACTACAACTAATATTTTAATACATATGTTAATGGTCTACATGGCATATGAAATTAATGAACTGATATTGCGGGGGACATTTATCCCGGGACTCTTTGATCACTGGCGTTACAGCCTGGTTCTCACATGTAGCTGTGATCGCGAGGGCAAATGTATTGAGGACAGGAGTGAGTGAGCATCGGGTTTTACGTGCTTTCAACAGTATTTTTGTTGGCATGGCTTTTCTGTTGTATGTGTGGAGGACCTGGTGACGGATATCGGTCTCAGATCGTGAGCCATATGGTGGAAACCTACTACCACGGGAATGTTGCGGTTAGACAAAGGGTTATGATCAGGGGAAGTGCGACACGTTTTCAGCGGATCCTGGCGTTTCTAAGGGATGTGATGTGGGTGTGGGTGTCTACATGTCTCTGTGTATGTTTGAATGTGGTGTGTGCTTGTAATGTGTGTTATTGTGCGGTTTTGGTTTACGTCTTTCTGTGTGTCACACATGTAACTTAACAAACATGATAAATGTTTCAGTTCCCTTCGATACAGCTGCCAAAAATACACACTTCGTCCTTAAGGCTGAAAAGATTTCACGACAACTACCAACAGTAAGGGATCATCCAATAGATTTCTCTCGTAGGGGTTATATACAGAAAAATTCCCCAGATTAATTTGTCCAGAAAATTTCCCTGAAACTGAGTTTGGTTTTACTAATAATCAGGAGAAAGAAATGGGCTTCACACATTGTACTTCATGTTTCGGCGTGAAAACCACTCCCCAAATGTAAATGTTTGTGTTGATAGTGAGAATTAATTGTTTGATGATGCTAAGTAAACAGTTTGTTGGACGGAGCTCTCCTCCCTCTACCCCCACACAAATCAAATGGATCCTTCCTGATCAGTAGGGCGGTCGGGTAGCCTAGTGGTTAAAGTTTTCGCTCGTCACGCCGAAGGCCCGGGATCGATTCCCAACATGGGGAAAATGTGTGAAGCCCATTTCTAGTGTCCATTGCTGGAACATTGCTAAAAGCGGAGTAAAACCATATTCACTCACCCCTGATCAGTATGTCATCACAGTATATGACAAGCCGTTGTTGGTGGCTATGGAGAATAAGGTTCGCCACGTGTGACCGCCGGTTCGAATCCCAGACTCGTCTGATTGATGTTCACAGTTTGTTTCACAAAATCATAAACGTTTCCAGTGTCTGACTTCGGGCTTCCCATAGTAACATAACACATCGTTAACCTTTACTGTAGTCAGTAGTACAGTGCAGGAATCTGTGTTTGGCGTGCGTGTATTTGTGCGTGTATGTGTGGTCTTTAATATTTTGAGTATTTATGGCTAGGAACATTCAGCAGAACGCAGCTAAGCTGACTCAATGAAACAGTGATGCACGTGCAAAGCAAGAACTCATAAAAGTGAACTTATTCACGATAGTTTCGTGCACGTGCACACATGACACACGTGACAAATATTCGGTATAAAAGCTCGTGAAAATGTTTTTGGACATCCACATTTTACGATATCATTTGCGACCATGCGAGATTATCACAAGAAGAGAGAGAAAGGGTAATTGGCATGATTCAGTTTGGCGCTACCCACAATCACGTCGCCAGGATCTTCGGTTGTAGCCGCCTGACAATAACCAGGCTGATGACCCGTTACAAACAGACAGGCAGGACACAGGACAGGCCGAGGAGTGGCAGACCTCGGGTGACGACCCCAGCTGACGACCGTTACTTGCGTACTCTGCATTTGCGCAACTGACATCATCAGCATCGACTGCGCTGGGTCATCGTATCAGCCGAAGGACGGTGTCCAGGGTGCCGTTCCACTAACCGATCCTATCTAAGATCAATCTCAGCAAGTTATGCCAATTTTACAATCGTCTTAGCTAAAAGTTACACCCGTTCCACTAACCGATCTTAGGCCGATCGTAGCCGGTCCCGATCTTACGATCCGATCCAAGCTTAGATCGAAACTCTTTCGTGCGAGAGATAGAGGAATGCGTGGCACGAGTTATCTCCTTGTGCATAGTCTAGCAAATGATAGAAAGTAGTTTACGAACCAACTGAGTGAGTGAGTGAGTTTAGATTTACGCCGCACTCAGCAATAGTCCAGTTATATGGCGGCGGTCTGTAAATAATCTAGCTAAGATAGTTCATGTTAGTGAACGCTATGTATCTTAGTTATATATAATCGAGTCTGGACCAGACAATCCAGTGATCAACAGCATGCGCATCGATCTGCGCAGTTGGGAACCGATGACATGTGTCAACCAAGTCAGCGAGCCTGACCACCCGATCCCGTTAGTGGCCTCTTACGACAGGCATGGGTTATTGATGTTCAATATTCTAACCCGGGCCTTCATGGGTAATTTTCCAACCAAGTGTAAACGTGGAGAAAAAACCTAGAGCAAAATATTAGGGTAGTGAGCACCTTGGTTTCAGGTGCAAGTGCGTGAGAACGCTGGGTATCAAGCATAATATAATAATAATAAATGCATATTTATAGTGCGTCTATTCCACATCTCTGGGCATGCTCAAAGCGCTGTGTACAGATAATTTACACGAGAATTATACGAGAATCTCAACGAGATTATAAGTAATATACTGAGAACAGGTTTAAAGTCTGGACTTTAAAAATGTCAATTGTGTCAGAGCTTGTCAGTCAGAATAAACAAGGCGTGACGAGGCTATAACGTATGTAGAATCTGTCAGTGGTCTTGAATAACACGCGGCCTGCCTTTAGAATCCCCCACCAAATATGCGCAGTGAAATCAAGCATATTTGTATCTTTTTGCTTCAGAACATTGTTCACTTCACGGCTGTCCCTATTCTTAACCATGACGTTGCAATATTGTTGTACAAATGTGTTACACCGATTCGCTCGGTTGTGTTCCCATGACGACAGTGGTCAGACTGGCCTGACATTTGTAAGGCTTCAGTGCAGTGTTTGTTTACATCACAGAAATATACAAATTCATTTCATGGGGGACTTTAGGGGAAGCTCACGGTGAAATGCTCGCTCTTATTTTTCACATAGAATAGGAAAGCCACTATTTTGGTTTCTCTACGATTGATTTTAGCTATCCTAAGTTGGTCATGAGCAACTTAGACTTTGAATCTTAACTTTACGATTGACTTAGGTAAGATTGGTTAGTGGAACGGTATGCCGATCGTAACGTCACGCTAAGGTTGGGATTTTAGGGGTTTACGATTGGCATAGGGCTAAGATCGGCTAGTGGAACGGCACCCAGGAGACTTCATCAGCATGGTATCCGAGCCTACAGACCCTACCGTGGTGTAGCACTGAGGCGCCTACATCGACGTCGACGTGTGAGATGGACACGTATCGTTCAAGGTTGGCAGCGCAAGCAATGAGAGAAGATACCCCCTGAACAGACCTGACGGTAGGACACGGGTGCATCGACGCAGAGGAGAGCGGACGGCACGTTGCAAGAGGTTGAGCAGTTTGGGAGAGGTGGTGTTATGGTGTGTGTGTGGGGGGGGGTGTGGGGAGGTGGATGTGACAGACAGAGAGATCTGGTTGTTGTCGATGGGAATTTGAATGGGCAGCGTTATGCTGACCAAGTCCTTCGGCCAGTTGTTCTACCCTTCCTACAACAGAATCCAAGAACTGTATTTCAACAGGACAACGCCCCATGTCATACAGCTCAACGTGTTCAAGGCTTTCTCAGCGCCAACAACGTTGTTGTCCTGCCATGACCATCACGCTCTCCGGATCTTTCAACCATTGAGCATTTGTGGGGCCATCTTGGGAGACAGATTCGTGCCAGACAGGCCGCCCCAGTGAAAAGACAAATTTTGCAGTTATCTCAATCAATTATTGGCCTTGATTGATGAATTTGATTTTCCATGCTCCATTTCCATGCTCCATGTTACAACTTTGATTTTCTGTTTATCTTTTGTCATCTTTTATTAATTAGCCTCAATAATATGGTATCGTTTCTTTTGCCCCTGGGTGTATATGCGTGCGTGCGTGTGTGTTTGCGTCCAGTGTGCGTTTATATGTGTGGCGCAGCTTATGTTTAGGTGTGAATATTAAATAAGCTGTGCTACATTTAGAAGTTAGTCTGGTACATAACATAATGTGTTAAGATAAACAGTGCACAATAACGTTGACAAGTACCAACGTCTGTCAGTCTGGTTCTAAAGTATCGATGGACATTTAGACATGTGTGAGATCGGTCTAGCAATGCAAGGAATACTTACTGAGCCCGAATATAATATTCTCAATTACGCATAAACAATTATGCTCAGTGTCAATCTAGAATAAAACGTGGACATATTATTTGACAATATGTGGATGCGAGTGAATTTAAAACAATCCTTAAAAATATAAGAGATCGAGAAAACGAAATACAGCTATATATCTGATGACACAGTAAGAGCTGATACCTGTAACAGTTACATATTAATGTAACCTATTACAGTTACATATTAATGTAACCTAATCATTACCTAACACGAGACAATTTACAAAATATCAGAAATTGCATATTAATTGTCTCACGCGCAGTCAGGAACATATGTAATACATTGTTTAATGTTAAAATACGGTTTGTGTCTATGTCAATAGGAAACAATAGCTGTTCTATACACTCAAAGCCAGATAGAACAATCCTTTCGCGATTAGTACAAGATATAATGACTAGAATACTATAGCAGTACAATTAATGTTCATTTTTCAGAGCAAGTGCTGTAGTAATTTCCGTACACATTACAAACAACTCACCATGTTTGGAAAAAAATATCCTCTTGAACCTAATTCCAATACAATGACTCAACCTGTTCACCCTGTGACATCCTTAGTTTGGTCTGATCTCGAATTACCTGGCCCTGTGGGTATGTATTGAAACAGCTGCTCGATTTAGTTATATCTATTCTATGCATCGATATTACGAGTTTTCAGTGAGTAACGAGGGCTGTGATTGTGAACATTAAAGCCCGAGTTTCTTATCAGTGACATTACAAAATACGTATGTTTCCTTGTAAATTGATTGTGACAATGTAATAAATTGATTCATATATTGGCACAGTGTCAGGGACTGTGTATATTAATGTGTGACGGGGTGGCGATAAGCGCGCATCATTCACGTTGATAAGACCACCTGAATGGATGTACTGATATCACAGATCAGACCTGCTACCCGTGTTAATGTCCTGTCTGAAGTGGAGGCTCAGTATACGTGCCCCGGTACTCCAGGATTTGAATGTGTTGAGTGCGGATTGCCGGGTACATGACCATCGGGTGTAGAGATGGCTAACTGTGGTATACCTGTGACTGTGACATCTCGATTACTCTAGTGTCATGACATAGCTATGAGTCACAATCATTCCTTCCATCCTCGAGGTAATAAAATCATCGGGCCGAGCCGTAGATGCATCCAGGATATAGTGGAGATTTCTCGTAACGCATACCCTGGAGATTATAGAGGATGCTCTAGTAATATCACCATGGGAAACATCAGAAATGGGTTTCACACAATGTACCTATGTGAGGAATCGAACCCGGGTCTTCGGTGTAGTGTGCGAAGGCTTTAACACTGGTCCTTCTCATTGCCTTTGTGTGCGTGCGTACTAACGTGCATGCGTGCGTTTGTGTGTGTAACGAGGTTATGATGCTTAAAGACAGTTCGCCGACTATGATCGATCCGACCGGTGCATCTTTTATCTCCTTAACACTCGGGCAGGCAGGTCAACAATAAGTACCATCTTATAATACCCATCATAACCTCTCCGAGGAAGTGCTCTATCCACCGGACAAGTGAGATGGCTGCTTACATTCGGAAACCTTATAGAAAACCAATGTAACTCGAGCAAATGCATACATATAAAAAACAACAACACTGTAATACTGAAACGATTCAACAACATTTCACGATAACTAACATATCACAAAAAGTACAAAAACTTGCTTGCCCTTTGACATTTGGAATTGCAACAGGGAAAGCTTCGTCACTGCTACAGCCATAAAACAATACTACATTATCTAATTTAACCCATCTTGTTCATACAATGTATGTATGGGTGTAGTGTATATAGGGGCAATTGTCAAAGGGCAAGTAGCAATACAATTCTATAAATGTTGGAAGGATTTGCTGCTAATGTTATTTTAGATTAAATGAAATGAAGAAAAACATCAGTTGTCTCCCTTTTTCTACTTTCGTTTTACACTGGACGCCATTTGCATTGAATGAGCTCCGAATTCAGTCAATAACAGGTGAGCATATTTATGTATGTGAGTTTAGAAGTTTTTAGACATATTATTGGGAAGGTCGTTGAATATTTACAGATGAAATGGCACTGCAGCATCACCGATTGCGTGTATACTGGTTATTACTGCACACCGACTAGTTGTTGCTGCACGATGGTGGGCAGACACCTGACACGGTATGGCGCATGGTCCCTGTGTGGTGTTTTTTGTATTTTTTAACGATTCAGCGATTAGACAACGTTGTGTTGATCACATTCTATTACTGCACGAAGCAAAGACACCACATCGAGACGTCTCGCGTAACAATGATCTATAAATAGCCAGACGACTTCCGAGAACAGGGCTGTTTCCTGGAAAACTTCTCTTCCATTGAAATGGTTGTGAGGACTTAATCAATGTGAGCGACTGTAGGCGAGGTAGATCGCCTTGAGTGAGGTATACTGCAGGTGACGTGTGAAGAGTATGTAACCTTGCAAGTAAACATATAGTTGGACGAATATGTTCAACGATTTATTGATACATTGGTTAATGAGGAAGCGTGTGTGTGTGTTGGGGTGTGGGGAAGTGTCGGGGGTGGGGGTGTCGAATGATTTCTCTCATAATTCTAGACGCCAGAATAAAATAGTTGTTTGACAAGCGATCATTATTTTGTTGTCACATACCGCTATTTTTGACGATGGGGGGGCCACTTGCTTGTTGTTGAACAGCCAGGTAATCAACAAGCGTGTGTATTGAAATTTCAGTTTCACACGTGCACCTCGCACACCTGGCTGTTCTACCAGCAAGTGGTGGTGGTGGTGGTGGTGGAATTGGGTTTAACGTCGTGCTTGAGAATATTTCGCTCATATGACGACGTGCATGTGTGTGTATGTGTATGCGCGGTTGCTTGTACAAGCCCAGACTGAAGCTGGTTTTATAGTGCTAGCCCACTGAGATACCATGCCGCAGTGAAGCATGAATACCCCACTCAGACACATTATACTGACTCCAAGCCGACCAGTCCTTGTTGTACCTATTAATGCCGAGCGCCAGGCAGGGACCAACAAGTACCATATTTTAGCGTCTTTTGGTATGACGCGGTCGGGGATGGAACCCGCGACCTTCCGCACTCCGAACCACTACACCACGGAGGCGGTTTCTACCAGCAAGTGGTCCCCCTCATAAGAAATAGCGAAAGTGACAACAAGATAATTATCATTTGATAAACAACTTTATCGCTTTCGTCTTTCCTCCACCACGAAACTGACATACTGTTTTCAGTGTTCAGTTAAACCGAAATCAGTCACTCACAGTGTGTACATACTATTTCCATTTAATCCGCAGTTCTGATCGGCATGGCGTAGACTGGTGACGGAAGCATCAGTAGAAGATGTGGAGCAAGATGGGGACCACAGACAGCCGGTCTGATGGCGGTCCAGGAGATAGACAGGAAAGACGAGATGAGCGCCCAGGAAGTCAAGCAGCAGCTGAGTCCAGGCAAGGACAGGAGAGGGTTCTGGCTGGTCAAAGTGGTGGGTCTCCGGTTGATGCAGAGAGACCGACAAGGTCTGAAGGTCAGGTCCCGCATGCAGCACGAACCATTGTGGATGGACACAGCGGGGATCAAGGTAGGAGCCTTTGTAAGAAATTATGCACTTCAATACAGAACCCGTGTGCGAAATACGCTTTGATGATCTCAAAATCATCATCATTACCATCATCATCATCATCATCATCATCATCATCATCATCACCATCATCATCATCATCATCAAATCTGGATTTTGCCCAAAACTTACACACGTTATTTAAACGTTAAAGAGTAGAGACTACGCAAAATGGTGCAAACTTAATGTCAGAAACATAACGGTGATAATTGTATCAAACATATCACCATCGAAAACATTACCTGTTTGTTCATTTTAGCTGGGGCGGTGGGGTAGTCTAGTGGTTAAAGCGTTGGCTCGTCACGCCAAAGACCCGGGTTCGAATCCCCACATGGGTACAATGAGTGAAGCCCATTTCTGGTGTCCCCCGCCGTTATATTGCTGGAATATTGCTAAAAGCGGCGTAAAACCAAACTCAGTCAGTCAGTCAGTCATTTTAGCTACCGTCAAATACGGGCGTATGTTGTCTTTTGTTTTGCAGTATACTGTCTGAATTATATCATTGTGTTAATAAGCTCCTCGGTAGGAAGGTGCTCCATGTGAGGAATTGAACACTTTAGTTATTGAGTAAGTTATGGTATAATGAAGTTATCTTTAATATTGTACATGATATTTTGTGCATGCATATTGTTCTTAGGAACACTTAACAAAACTCCGTTAATTTATTCCGTATTTAAAGCTTGGTTTAAGCTGCGATATGTGGAGAAACAGCTGTTGTGCTATGTTTTACTTGGGACACAACTGAATTCTTTGTTATAAAGTGTCACGTTGCTAAGTCAGGCTGATATTTCTTCATTAAATACTTACATTTATATGTATGGAGATTATCTACAGAATAAACAGAGAAGAATGTTACATTCAACATTATATTTGTTCGTCATGTTTAGTGGTGCAGGAAATGAAGTCGGTTGAAACTCAGACGTACGCAGATGAGAAAACCAGAGCTTATGCTGACCTACCTGAGCAATTAACGACAGGTAATCGTCTCATGCTCTACAATCTACAGAATAGGGACTTTAATGCTCCTAGCTTCTCAAGGATGTATTGACAAAAGGATCAAAGCTTGGCTCTGGTCGTTGTTAAAAGACTGAGAATATTTACACATTTCACATTTAAAGTTGGACAGCTGAATACTAAATCTTCATAACGCTGGTGTATTTCTTCGTTCAGTGGTGGCGTTCACGTATCACGAAGCTGGGGAGACTTTAGCTCCATCCGTATCATTTTGCCAGGATGTACCTGTGTTTCAGATACAATGTCTCCTGTATTTCTGGAAATGTTCCTTATTCATTCCTCAATTGTCATTCAGGGAGATTTCTGATGTTAAAGAGAATTGGTAAGCACCAACATAAACACAGTGCTGAGAATACTTATTGTTTATCAGAAGGGACCACAGGAGCTCGATACGGGGAACTGGACGTGCCAGTATCCAGACAAGGAGCATTTGGTACACTAGGGCCACAGTACCATCTGCCTATACAAGAATCCAGCCCACAGGCAATGCCTCTTGGAAATCCACCGGCTCTAACTGTTGTTTATGAACGTCAGCAAACGCATAGAAAGGAAACATCATTGGAGAGACAGGGAGGAGAACCTGGGGCTGACGACAGACAGGTTCCAGGTGGGAGACAGGGAGGAGAACCTGGGGCTGACGACAGACAGGTTCCAGGTGGGACACAGGGAGGAGAACCTGGGGCTGACGACAGACAGGTTCCAGCTGAGAGACAGGGAGGAGAACCTGGGGCTGACGACAGACAGGTTCCAGGTGGGAGACAGGGAGGAGAGAACCTGGGGCTGACGACAGACAGGTTCCAGGTGGGAGACAGGGAGAGAGAACCAGGGGCTGACGACAGACAGGTTCCAGGTGGGAGACAGGGAGGAGAACCTGGGGCTGACGACAGACAGGTTCCAGCTGGGAGACAGGGAGGAGAACCAGGGCCTGACGACAGACAGGTTCCAGCTGGGAGACAGGGAGGAGAACCTGGGGCTGACGACAGACAGGTTCCAGCTGGGAGACAGGGAGGAGAACCAGGGGCTGACGACAGACAGGTTCCAGCTGGGAGACAGGGAGGAGAACCTGGGGCTGACGACAGACAGGTTCCAGCTGGGAGACAGGGAGGAGAACCAGGGGCTGACGACAGACAGGTTCAAGCTGGGAGACAGGGAGGAGAACCGGGGCAGACGACAGACAGGTTCCAGCTGGGAGACAGGGAGGGAGAACCAGGGGCTGACGACAGACAGGTTCAAGCTGGGAGACAGGGAGGAGAACCAGGGGCAGACGACAGACAGGTTCCAGCTGGGAGACAGGGAGGAGAACCAGGGGCAGACGACAGACAGGTTCAAGCTGAGAGACAGGGAGGAGAACCAGGGGCTGGCGACAGACAGGTTCAAGCTGGGACACAGGGGGAGAGAGAACCAGGGGCTGACGACAGACAGGTTCAAGCTGAGAGACAGGGAGGAGAACCAGGGCAGACGACAGACAGGTTCCAGCTGGGAGACAGGGAGGAGAACCAGGGGCAGACGACAGACAGGTTACAGCTGGGACAAAACAGAGGTGTAGATGCCGAGACCAGGCCACCCGAAAGAGCCGAGAGCGTTCATACATCTGTTGGAACACAGACAGAAATTAGTAAGTCTTTGATTCTAATGTGCAGTTTCTGTCATGTTTGATTCCCAATATACTGGTGGAGTCTACAACCTAAATGATGTAATAGCAGCAATAGAAGGATGTGATATTGTTGTCTCATGTTTTCGAAACTATATACCTTGTGGCTTCAGTGTACCACTGGATGGAAGAATACTCCTTGGAATAATTGAAAACTTTAAATTGTGTCTGATTATAGATTGGAAAAATGATATAAATTATATTAAAAACTCATACACGAAGCAGAGAGGAAACTATAGTTCTCGGTTCACGGGACATGACACCAAATACTGAATTATTTCCAAAAACGATACTGACAAAGAATATGAGAGGTAGCAGGTATTTTCTGACAAGGTTTAGGCAATTTCTGATGCCTGTATTTGCCCTATTATTAACAAACCAGCTTCAACTACTTGCTGCTATTTACAGTTATAGACATGACTACAATCGTAGTACAAAGGTGATCGTGTGTAGGTCTTCAAAGCGCATAAACCGCGGTATAGACCATGTTGAGCGCATCAGTAGTATAGGGAATGGTGGAACGGGCCACCATGCCTAGGAGCTCCAAACGGCCCAGTTGGGTTCCCAGAAACACTAGTTTTTTCACAAAACTATATCGGAAGACAAAAAGTGTCCCGGTTGAAGTGCTCTCCAATTAGAGATATGTAGGTGTATGGATATAGAAAAAAAATGCCAGGAACCAAACTATCGCCCGATGCCTATGTTGAGATCCGTTCGGGTCGTTTGTCCCTTCGGGAGGCGAAGAAGTACCAAGCCAGATATACACGGTTCTGAGTAGTATAGACCCCGAGCCACAAACAAAGACATGACAGAAGTCTTCGAGACCCTGCTAGAGAAGTGTCCCCATGTCTTGCTTTCCGACAGAAAGAAACAAATCCTGGAGCGATCGGGACACACCTAGTCTGTCGTACAGACCCTGAAGCAAATATATCCAAGAAAGCCCACTCAAGTCTAGAAAATGTGGCAAGTCTAGATTTCCTCAGCTTCAGGGTCTGTACCAATCTGCTGAATTCACAAGCCAGAATATGGCTTGTAATTATCAGTTGATCTCTAGCTGTCACTAGTGTTTAATATTAACTCATGGGGAGCCTCCCCCACCACTCCCCAAGACCCCACACTGAGCCAAGACCTCCTGCTTTTGCCTGTCCTCTCACTCCAGACAAACAACATGTGTGATTACACTAGAGACCTGATGACTTATAAAATCTGAGTATTTTCTTTAACTGTTTCATTTTACACTGGTGAGGAGAGGGGATCATTTCGAAAAGTTTTCCGTCTCAGGGTAAAAATGAATTGGAACTTTGATGAGGATGAAAGCAAATATACATAGCATTTGTCCAAATCAGAATATAGTGATTGAAAAGTACTTAAGTGGTGAAAATGTCTTGTATTGTTCTCCATCCAGGAGTGGAAAATCACTGACATTCGAAATTCTCCCTATTCATACAAGTCAGTAGAAAATACAAGCCATGCTATTGTTATTGTTGTGTCATCCTTGATTTGCATGATGAAAAACAAACAGAGATATATAAATCATTAGGCTCAAAGCAGTGTACCTCAACGATGTAGGCATTTGTGACTTTATCCATAAACTTTGAAAAGATCTGATGGCATATTGTTTTCCCCAGCACCAACGAAGTTGCGGGGAATGTAGAAACGTGTTCCGTCCGTCCGTGCATCCGTCACGCTTTGTCCAAAGCATATCTCCTAAACTATTTGTGATAGCTTAACCAAACTTGGTACGCATGTGAACCATGATCCCTAGATGTGCCTTTTGGGGGTTAGACCCAGATATGATTTTTATTTTGAACTTGGCACATAGATAGGTCTGACGATATACTGGTGCCTTTTGGTAGTTTTGGATTTCTGAAGAAAACATATTTTGCGTTTCCATGGCAACAAGTTTGACTTTGACTGAAATTGGTGGTAGTGCTCTTTTCTGGAGCAGAACTTAAAAAACCTTTCAATACTCTCCTTCCACTTTGTAATATAGTCACAGACTTGGTTGAGACATATCATTGCATCCCATTTGTGTAGATTGATGCTGATACTGTTGATCACTGGATTATCTGGTCCACATTCTATTATTTACAGACAGCTGGAATATTGCTGAGTGTGGCATGAAACTAAACTCACTCACTCACTGCTATATACACACCAAAACATTTGACATAGTCGTAACTAACTGACATATACATGAAGAGTCATTGCGGGGGATATTGATGACTTTTTCTCCTTGTTACATTATATATATGCGACATCAATTAAACTTCCACATATAGTGCAGACACAACCTTTGGATTTTGGAGAATATAAATAAATTTGGAATTTTTTTGGGTGAGATCCAGTTGTCCAGCCATAGGAATATCAAGAGATGCTACCCTTAGCTGGTATCCCTGCTTGCTCTCAAAATAGATTTGGCGACACTTGATACTCATTACCCCACATCGGCCCACACCACTGACAGTAGGACCTGGAGGCGGTGGGGGCAGTAAATATTCCTGTCACACACAATTAAAGCAGTAATGGGTGATAAGAACCTTTGTACATGTTGTGAAATTCCAAGAAATTATCCCTCTGCAGATTTGTTTAGTCTCTGAAAATGAAGAAAGTCTCAGGGCTCCTTTTCATTATATTATATATTTTTTTACTATGAACATTTTTCAGTAAAATATGTTCATTTCAGTGACTAGTTGTTAGTCTAGGGACACACCTTCTACAAGCGATACCAGATCCCTCAACAGTTTCTTGCACTCTATTTGCTGTGCTTTCGCCAGTTCGTAGAAGACGGTAAAATAGTCGATTTTGTCTACCTCTACCCGTCCAACCTATTTCGACCTGCAGCCGGCAAACTCCGAATCGATCTTGCCAGCGACTGCCCGGAAACAAGGGACACAACCGATGCACCGACTGCCTCTCATCTATATCGGAACTACCCATCCTCGCAAGTGCGACGCCATCGACCACTGCATTCTGGAAAGGCAAAGCGATAGACTATACACCCCAGGTTCCGGAAGAAATCGCGATCCCCTACTGTTTCTCAAACGTAGAAAACCTGCCTCTTCTGGTGCGACACAAACGCCTCCTCAACAAATTGGTGGACAGTTGTCCATGCGAGGAATATTCTTGTATCTTCCGGCAGCTAGCGGGAAAATGAGTGTGGTTTTACGCCGCTTTTAGCAATATTCCAGCAATATCACAGCGGGGGACACCAGAAATAGGATTCACACATTGTACCCATGTAGGGAATCGAAACCGGGGCTTTGGCGCGAATAGCGAACGCTTTAACCACAAGGCTACCCCTGTCCAAAAGATATAGATGTAGGACATCTGTAGAACCAGTGACATCACAGCTGAAATTAAATCATGACAGGTAGTTTCGACACGCCCCCCTTGATAGTGGAAATATGGGACAAGCATATCAACATGTTAGCGGTCCATACAGAAAGGTTTACCCATCACCAGAATGAAAATACACGTGTTTTGTAATCTATTGCCCAGGTCTGCAAAACCTAGGATTGGCCTTTGAACATTGTTTCGTGATCTCTAAGTTCCACTTGCGACGGACACGTAACATTTTTAATTGTGTTTTACGGATGGTGTTGAAGTTTGAAAATATATTCTTTTAGATGCCGAAAGATGCAGAGCGTCTGTGAATCTGTTATTGGACCATTCTGGGAATGATGCCCAGACGATTGAACACAAGGAGGTACGTACACTGTGGACGTAGCTGATGCAAGGGATTCAGCTGTCTTCGCGTAATGGTGGTGCATCTATCCGTGTTTTGCGTGGGTGAACTGTTCGTTTGTTTTGGTTTGATCAATACATTCACTGGTAGTGCGATCGAACCCTAAATTCGAAACCGATTATGATCCTTGATCCTTGATCCTTGGACGGTGTGTCCACAACAAATTGACAACCTATGATAGAGGATTATGTTGGTGATTAACCCGTTACTCGCTCGCTCACAGGGTCGGTGGAGTAATCTAGTGGTTAAAGCATTCGCTCGTCATGTCAAGTGCCCACATGGGTACATTGTGTGAAGCCCATTTCTGGTGTCCCACGCCGTGGTATTGCTGGAACCTTGCTAAAAGCGGTGTAAAAGCATACTCACTCATTCATATATGACCTTTATCGTTATTGGAATTTATTCCATATACATTCTTAGGAACAGTAAATCCGCGCGTTTATATGACACCAAGTCACCCCTTTGTTCCAGCACATCATTCATGAGATGTCACAAGGTAGTCGCCAGGTGTTCCAGAACAAGACGGCCCATGGACTGGCTGTTCATGTGCTGAAACAACAGACATGGAAGACTGATAAACTATGGTATGAAACGGATCATATATATAGATGGCAGTGTATAATGATTCCCATCTTGTTTTTACAGATATACTGACAGTGTGAATATCAAGAGTTGAAGGTCGATGTCGTTCTCTAGCATGATAAAGTGTAATAACTTTTCTAGCTGTGATAGTTGCGATAAAATTTTTTATCCCCCGCAACACGTTTTGCGGGGGGTATTAAAATGGACTCCGTCCGTGCGTCCGTCCGTGCACATTTGTCTTTTCCGGAGCAGAACTCTTAAACCGTTCAATATTTCTTCACCAAACTTGGCACATAGATAGATCTGGTGGTGTACTGGTGACTTTTGGTAGTTTTGGAATTCTGAATAAAACATTTTTGGCGTTTCTGTGGCAACAAGTTCGACTTAGAATGAAATTAGTGGTTGTGCTCTTTTCCGGAACAGAACTCTAAAACCGTTCACTATTTCTTCACCAAACTTGGCACATAGATAGATCTGGTGGTGTACTGGTGCCTTTGGTAGTTTTGGATTTCTGAATAAAACATTTTTGAATGGCAACAAGTTCGACTTAGAATGAATTTAGTGGTAGTGCTTTTCCAGAACTGGCCGTTCAATATTTCTTCACCAAACTTGGCACATAGATAGATCTGGTGGTGACTGGTGCTTTTGGTTTACCTTTTGGATTTCTTCTGGAGCAAAATAGTTTTGCATTTCCATTTAAAAAGTTTGACTTAGACTGAATTGGTGATACTGCTCTTTCTTTCCAACTTTTTCTATATACACACCTAAATATTTGACATAATCATAACTCGTAGACATAATCATGAAGAGTATTTTGCCATTGCGGGGGATATTGATGACTTTGTCTTCTTGTTTATCTTGCAATTCAAATCAGAAAATATGAACTTCTTACTATTAGTTATTCTATTCTTTTTTCTAGGAGTAGTTGCACTGCAGACAGCAACGTGTCTGAGGCCGGCGTCCACAACGTCCTCAAGGAACTGGATCACCACAATAAGAAGATAGGCCACATCGTGGAATATTTCTCGCTGGAACACAGCAAGCGGTTGGATATTATTCGGCTGATCCAAAAGATTCACGATAAATGTGACTTCTGTGAGACGATATACAGTTCTGTAACCTGACATTTTATCAGAGAGACACAAGAGACGCTCATTTCTGAAAGGTGTTGCCAGGATGTACCTATGATTCAGATACAATTTCCCCTGTATTTCTGCCCTCAGTGATGGCTGAGGCTGCTGTAGTAGACGTACCCGGGGATGCTGGGGAGACCGTAGCTCCACCCTTATCATCTTCAAAAGATCTGTTAATGATTTTGTCTTCATTATTATTATTAAGATGAATACGATCATAACTGATGTAGACTCGGCAATTCACAACATAAAAAGGATCGCCCAGTTTGGAATACAAGACTGGAAATATGTGTATTACCTGGAATATCCGTTTGAACATTCCATCTGCTGCATTCTAACCAGTATTATCCACATATCAGAACCTTCTTAGCTATTATCATCGCCTTTAACATCACCGAAGAAGCTATTCCGCCACTTGATGCGGTGGGATAGCCAAGTGATAAAAGTATTCGCTCTCGTCCAGCTGAAGACCCGAGTTCGATTCCCAACTTGGGTACAATGTGTGAAGACCATTCCTGGTGTCCCCCGCCTCTATATTACTGGCATATCGCTGATAGCGGCGTAAAACTAAACTCACTCACAACTTCCTTAAAAGAAGAGAATAAATTAGTAGTAGCTTGTACTGAGGCAACGGTGCAACTTACAATCATGACCCCAGACTGTGCAACTACCATAGGTGGAATAGGGCTGTAACCTGGGTATAACTCAAGAATGCTGTGATCTGGTTGACTGTGTTGAAAGTGGTTGTGTAGCTCAGTGTACATATCAGTGGTTTGTCTGCTGGTAGGGACCATGCTGGTGGGGACCATGCTGGTAGGGGGGTGGGGATATAGTTGATGCCTATGATACACTAATGATGGGGTGGGGGTGGGGGTTTATATCTTGGTATCTGCACAGGGTATGTCTTTCGTTTTGCCAGATTATATTGTCTTTGTTAGAAGCCGACCTTATGAATAGTCTTTGTTAGTGAGCCTGCGGTATGGAAAGACAACTTTACAACTGACATATATTTCTGATGAAATATTTTCTAACTATTACGTTCTAGATTAGTGTCATTTTACCGAAATAGTGAAAATAAAGTCCTTCAAATTATTTGTAATTTTGGTGTTGAAAAGAAGGACAACGATATTTCTGTAGCTGTTTGAAACTTGTGTGCGCACTTATAACTATTAATACGTTTGATTAATATCGATCTCACTGTTAATATGTAGGGTTTTAAACACATACTGATAGGGCTACACAAAGGGGAAATTTCACATATCTGTATTGTGTCCGGGAGGTCATAACATCTGGCTCAAGCACTGAAGAAGTCAGAAACAACTGAAAGGTATTACTGCAGCTACTCAGAAACAAGCATTATATTCAAAGTTATGTCTTCACCTAGTCGGGCAGATTCGTCAAGCAAAAATCACTTCATTCAGTGAAAAACAATACTTCATCTGGTCAGACTGATTGTCAAGCTGTAGTATGTATATGTCCCTAAACCGTCACATAAGGGAATGTATATTAATCGTTGGTGGACAATATTTGATTTTTCCACTTCCAATTTGCTTTATATACAATATGTTTCTCTGACAGAGACAATTTGACTTAACGAGGACTAACCCATTCCGAGCAAAACATAATCACAAATTTAACACTGATTAGCAGGTGATCATTTATTATCATCTTTGAAAACACTAGAATATCAGATATTATGAGATGCTATTCACATGTACCACAGATTTAAGTTTAATGAAATTCCGGAAGGACATAATTAGTCCCTAATCTGGATTCATCTGAATGATCCACCTCAACCTCAGCCCCAGCATGATCACTCTTCACACCTGAAGTAATATCGGCACGTCTCGTGACTTTCCGTAATGTCCCGAAGTTGGTCTAAAATTAGATCGCGGGAATTTCATAGGGGATTTCTTCGTTGCCTGCCCGTTGGTTTGTCGTGAGTAACATGCTAAATATTTGTGTAATTAGTGCTTTAGTGATGAAACAAAGGTGATTAAACTCTTGCGAAATGTCGTAGAGATTAACTGCGTGACACATTGGCGGATCCGGGGGTGTGGTGTGCGTGTGTGTGTGTGTGTGTTCGAACACACTCACACACACGCCCTTTTAAAAATGACTTCAGACTACATTGAAGACTTTTTTTGCGTTGGCGGAGCCTATAGGGGGTTCGAAACCCCTGAACCAAACCCCCACCCCCACCACCCCCTTTCAAACTTCCTGGATCCGCCCATGGTCACATATATCACTAATAGGAACAAGAAAGCGTCATATAACATCCTCGTAGTGCTATATATAGTGCAGTTTAATACAGCCACGGCTATATACGATCTTATATGGGGTTTAACGACCCCATCTTAAGTCTCTCTCTCATTCTTGCAAAGTGAGTACAACAGTATCTTCGAATTCCCTCCACTCCACCCAGTCGGTTTACTGAGACATTTAATTACAAAGGGAATTTTATGTACGCTTGGCAGATCAAGACGAATGGCTGTGTTGCTGTTTGTTCCTTGTGTCAGCCCGCAATGTCATGCATTAATCGACTCTAGACTCGATAATCTCGTGATTGACATTATGAGCATCGATGTACGCAGTTGGAGAATGTTTTGTAATAACAACACAAGGATTCATCATATATTGGGGTGGGTGTGAGATAAGTGAAAGAGCCGAGGGGCCCAAGGCTTCGAGTTGAATAAAACCCCGCGAGGACCCATCATATATTGGGGTGGGTGTGAGGGTGGTGGAAGAGCAGGTGGGGCCCAAGGCTTCGAGTTGAATAAAACCTCGCAAGGACCCATCATATATTGGGGTGGGTGTGAGGGTGGTGAAAGAGCAGATGGGGCCCAAGGCATGGAGTTTAATAAAACCCCGCGAGGACCCATCATATATTGGGGTGGGTGTGAGCGTGGTGAAGAGCAGATGGGGCAAAGGCATGGAGTTTAATAAAACCCCGCGAGGACCCATCATATATTGGGGTGGGTGTGAGGATGGTGGTGAAAGAGCAGAGGGGGCCCAAGGCTGGGAGTTTAATAAAACCCCGCGAGGACCCATCATATATTGGGGTGGGTGTGAGGATGGTGAAAGAGCAGATGGGGCCCAAGGCTTGGAGTTTAATAAAACCCCGCGAGGACCCATCATATATTGGGGTGGGTGTGAGCGTGGTGAAAGAGCAGATGGGGCCCAAGGCATGGAGTTTAATAAAACCCCGCGAGGACCCATCATATATTGGGGTGGGTGTGAGCGTGGTGAAAGAGCAGATGGGGCCCAAGGCATGGAGTTTAATAAAAACCCGCGAGGACCCATCATATATTGGGGTTGGTGTGAGGGTGGTGGAAGAGCAGAGGGGGGCCAAGGCTGGGAGTTTAATAAACCCCTCATATATTGGGTGATGGAAGAGCAGCGGGGGTCAAAGGCCTGGAGACATCAAATGATTAGGTCACTGCTTCTATCTCATTATACAATGTTAATGCTAATAATAAACATTCAGCTTGCGCATGGAACTATATCATGTGGTTAAAACATACGTACCCTTTTTTAAAAATTATCTTCAAGAGAGACATGTTCCGGGATTAATTAATTAATTAATTATTTATTTATTTATTTATTTAATTATTTATTTATTTATTTATTTATTTATTTATTTATTTATTTATTTATTTATTTATTTATTTATTTATTTATTTATTTATTTATTTATTTATTTATTTATTTATTTATTTATTTATTTATTTATTTATTTATTTATTTATTTATTTATTTATTTATTTACCGTGGGGTGAATACATTTCAACGCGGCTTCCGGACATAAGAGTAACTTCTTTGAGTTAAGCCAATCCCACAAAAGAAATGAGGTTTCTTGAGATTCTCGCTCCATTTATTCGCTTTATTAGTGTTTTTTTGTTCTACCAGCAATATTCTAGCAGCATCACGGGGGTCTGTGAGGTATTAAGTCAGACTAGTGGCTACTATTATGAGCGGATATCTGTTTTATGTTGTCCAGGTGTCCGATCCTTCACGCTGACGACACTGCGCAGAACCTGCTGCCAGACTCAAGACGAAGATGCTTGTTGAGGAGTCACCCACCAGCAGACGCAGTCTGTCGCACATCTTTATACAGTGGGTTACACTGGGGCTGTACCTCATCCTACTAGCTGCATCCAGGGGGATCGGGGTCTGTCAGAATATGCTCACATGGCTTGTCCAACATGCTACATGTCACGGAAGCGTATATGGAATGATAAGTAACGACGATGTAGTCGTAAACAATTCTCGGGTGGTGAGAGTTGAAAGTCTGCGGTCATTTCTGAAAGGTTCACCATTAAAAATGCATAACGTCTTCAATATGTCGGAAGGGAAATGGAATGCGGCCGACTACTATGGCATCGCGGAAAATGGCCATGACATAATCACCGAACAACCCATTTCGGAAATTAAATGTATGCATTGCAAGGCAGGAATAGATGACGATCAATCCCATACTGGTTATCAAAGCATCCGCTCGTTCCGTGACACTATTCGGAAGAATCACATGGTACCTCCAGGCGATGCCTGTACCTTGATGTCTGCCTGTGAAGACGTGCCTGCCTTGCCGGAGAGGTGTATGCAGTGGTTCCTCCTGAACTGCATTGCAATGGTGGCAATATACGAGCTTCAGATGATAAATTTCAGAAACATTCAGGACCCGGAGTTCAAGACCGATGCGCATGGATCGTCTTTCAGAAACATGGTGAATTGGGAAACGGATTTTGCTTCAAAGAAACCTTGTGTGTCGTCCAGCGGTGCTGGTTCCGAGCTGAAAAACCAGTCAGATATGAAAAGCAGAAATCAGGTGTCAGATTCCTGTACAAATATGATCCAGGACACAGACACATCTAATGTACCAAAACATCCCAGAAACTCGGACACGCACCGTCAGGAGGGTGAACATGGATATCATTCTGCGGCTGCAGCACCAAGGCCTGGTGATACATCGCGATGCTTGTGGAACGTCACCGAGGTTATCAATAACGTGTCAGAGACAGATTCTAACGTGAACAAGGATGACAAGCCAGAAGGCTCAGACAATCGGGCTGATGGCATGGACGAGGCTGATGGCATGACAGTTAGTGACAAGAGGGAGTCAGAGATGCGCGTTGACGACAAGAGAGAAGGTTCAACCAGGCATGTCGGTGGCAAGAAAGAGGGTTCAGACACTCAAATTGTTGGGAGGAGTGGGGGCTCGGATAGCAAAGCTGGCCTGACACAAGATGATATAGAGGTGCAAGCTGATGGCAAGCAAGAACGTTCAGACATACAAGTTGATAGCAGGCTAGGAGGATCAGACATGGAAGTTGATAGAACGCCGGAACGTTCAGATATACAAGCTGGGAGTATACCTGAAACTGATGTCTACACTTTGACAGGGGCAGATCAAATCCCAAACATGAAAACATGCCTAAAGAAACCGAAAAAGCAGAGGAAGGGATCGACCCACTGTTGCGTAAGCGCCAGGATTTTATCTGGTCTCCTGAGGATGTATAAACAGAAGCTCCGTACCTCGATGGTAAGTGAATGTATAAACAGAAGCTGTGTGAATGTAATTCTGTGACAGCGAGTGAATATTACAGGATGTCGTAAAATTGGGGAAAAGAAATTATCCCACTGACACACTCAGTTTCAAATATATATTTTACCCGATAAAGATTTGAGACCATTAGCAGTCCAAGAATCCGTACATTTCTGGTCGTATTTCTGAACAGCACGACACTCAACAAACAGTAATCCATTTTGTATAATCAGATTTACAGGTTCAGAGATCGGAGAAAACGTTTTTTCGTCAATCAAGGAAAACGTCCTCAGCCGTTTCGAGGATCCAAGAACATTCCCTGCAGCACCTCAGGGGAAACATGGAGTTTCCAGTTCCTTTCCACGACAAGATCACTGCCCAGGTCCTCACACACGTCTCAAAACTTCGAGACGAACAGACAGACGGAAGAAGCATTTTTCAAAGGGCAAGGTCACCACCGATGTGCAGGTCAGTCTCTATTTACTATGCATGATAGCAATTATGAAAACGATAGAGGCCCCTCACAGAATATCCACTATTTACAGATAGTATATTCAATGTAAACAGTTGTAATCAAGGTAAGCCCTGTTGTATATAGCATCAGTGCCCAGTGAAACAATGTCCTCTCCGCGATACCCGGCGCATCTGGTGAGAATACAGTCAAAGGGAAACAACTCTTCACAATGTAGACACCTGATGATGGGAGCATAAAAGCCTTCCTGGACACGTTAATACATAGACTTACTGCTACTGCAGCTGCTACTGTTACTACTACTACGTTTTGTTTATCTTTAATAATAATATTCCAGTTATTTGGCGGCGGTCTGTAAATAATCGAGTTTGGACCAGACAATCCAGTGATTATCTTCTGCTGCTAATAACACCAATGCCAATAATGCATGTATTATTGCCCGTTTTTAAATACATTTCCCCCTGAGTTAACTACCCCCATGTTATTTATGTTATTATACTATCATGTACTCATCATATATTCTATGGACGTGTCAACGGTGGTATACGTGTCGACTGGGGAATTAGCTCATAATTAAGATGAAGTGTGCGTTGATGAAGACGAAGGCATAGTTGAGTTCAAACTTCTTTAGTTACATGTCAAACAAATACACAAGACATACATGTGGTGAGCGGAGTACCTGCTCAACCACAGGGCGTTTCCAACGAGCGGCATTCTCCTGCTCGTGGTCGTCCCTACAGACCGTCGGAATACCGGACTCGTACCCAATCACTGTATAGATGTGAGCATACTAAGTATATATATATACAGTTTTTGACAACAATGGAAAGGCGACGACTCATCAATGGACAGACAGAATTAAAAACAATAGCACTTCCTTGACCAGTTGATGTGATGGCAGACACGGCCAAGGGGAATTTTTTACCAATGAAGGTTATAAATGTCTTATACAATAATTAATGGGTTGACAAGTCAATTTACAATGCGGTAGTGATAAAGATGTACAGTAGTGATTAAAAATACAGCTTAGCGTCATATATATATATAGTCTCACATGTCTTGAGTACATAGTTTTGGACTTTTTAAATATTTGGACGATGGGTGTCCTGAATTAGTCCCTATAACAGACGTATCTTCAGCTAAACGTCCGTCAGTAGATACGGTCGCCCTAGTAACGCTGCCCACCGTACGGTGATTCCCTGGCCATTCTAGGTTCGAATCCAGGTGTCGCCCCTAAAACGATTCTTGTTCTCTCAGACTTCATCAAAGTTGTAAGTCATGCAGTGTTCTTACTTTGGTATTTGAATTCCTCTCTCACTAAGCTGACATACGTGCATTCCCTTGTACTATTGTAACAGGTAATCCCAAAGCTTGCTCCGACTTTGTTGAGGGGCTATTGTATCAAGCTGGCGACAACACCAAGACATTCAAACTGAAGGAGGTATGGCTTTATCACATTGAATATATTGATAAACTCACAATGGTTCATCGTCCATTCAAGAACCCCCTGTTAAACTTGTCTTTTCAATGCTGTGAAGAAAACATTATACGGGATTCTACGTTAAAAAAACTTGTAATATGCGGTCACAGTTCTTGAATTCAATAGTGATAATGTCATGGCCCGTCTGTTGTCTCGTTGACCGTCGTGAACTTACATTCTGAAATGAAATTTTGTGTGACGTCTCTAAAACAATGGCGTCCTTTAAAACTTGACTTCGAAACAAACTGTCAACTGACATTTTCTACAGAGCTACAGAGACAGCTATTGAGACTTGTGGGTCAATTGTTAATTATTCGCAGTTCAATTTTTCTTTAAAGAAACTGAAGTTCTTGCTCCGCCCAGATCAACAATTGTGTGAGCTCCAGACAGTGAAAGGTCTCGCCATGCACTGTCTACCAAAGAAGGAACCATGGGAAATACAGAGACTTATGTAAGGGAGAGAACTCTGCCAGGACCCAAGAGCAAGATTTGTATTGCCTTTTAAACATTTTAACGATTTCTCATTTTGCCGATCTGCTTTTGTATGAACGAGTGCTTATTTTTTAGAAATGAAATAGTAATTATTTGCGGTTTTGAAAGATAAACGATATCGTGCAGCAGGTTGTTTAATCATCTCATTTGCATTTCTAACTTTGTTCTTGTTTAAACTCATTTGATGTGTTTGGCGCTTGATAGACCTTCAAAGGTCCAAGTCACCCTCAAACCCAAATACCATAGCAAGAGCAAGATCCGACTTGCTGTTGTCTACTTTGCAGGGGCGGATACAGCTTTTTGAGAAAGGGGGGAGGCACACTATTGAGAAAAGGGAGGGTGCACTCTTCATTTTCACCCGAGTTTCCATGGTCATTTAACAAACTTTCAGCACAAAAGGGGGGGGGGGGGTGCACCCCTACGCAACATATGACTCGAATGATTGTATAGTAGGTAGTTTCTCCAAACATTTGTTCTGCTATTTCAGTGGTTATTTTCACCTTGTTGATTTTATGTCTAATGCTATGGAGATATGAAATACCATATACCGCGCTGTTTCCCTGAAGAGGGTATGACGTGAAGGGCAGGTTTGAGTGTACATACGTCACTCTCCGGGTAGATGAGGGGGATGCGGGTGTGTGGGGGGAAGAAAGTGTACTTCTACCATGTCTGATGACATGAAACATACCAGCAATCAATACTCGACGACGGCGGAGTTTGTAGCTGGGGGTTTGACCTTACATTTGCACTGGTTTGGCGACTCCTTGGAAGGTTTGGCTATGGTTTACAATTCTTTGGTCGAACACAATTTTCACTTATATGACTTCCTTTGTCGGCCAGTATGTTTTGTCGGCCATTGTAAAAGTAGAGAGAAGACGAGAGTGACCAGGTCAAATCATAAACACGAAAAGAAAGAGGTTAAATGGGCTTGCACCTGCATGCACATGTTTATGTGTGTGCTAGCGAGTGTGTGTGTGTGTGTGTGTGTGTGTGTGCGTGCGTGCGTGTGTGTGTGTGTGTGTTCTTGTGCTCGTTCTTACATACGCCTGTTTAATAATGCTAGCCCACTGTGATAGCATGCCGATGTGTCCCTATTTCATCCCGTAATGCGCCCGGCAAAGTTACAACAAGTCCCACACTTTAAAGTGGTATAAGATCGAACCGCCGACCTCTATCGTGCAGACGACCATTGTTGCATGTTACGGAAGAAAAGACGCGCATAATTAAATGGCAGTTATTTTGCGTGTTTGTGTTTTTCAGGGAGATAGAGAGAAGGGGGCGCCCTCACGAGACATGTGTGGACCACGTGCTGCAGGAACTGGTAGCGCACGGACTGAAGGTGGGACACGTTGTGCAGTACTTCTCTCAACACGACAGCCGGCGACACGACGTCGTCCGGGTCATTGAGAAGATACACGTGGACTGCGAGTTCTGCACCTGCCTCTACAACTGGTGACTACAACTGAACGTCCGGTATATAACCACACTTTCCTTAGTCCTGTCACATTTCTTTAGTAGCAAGTCGTCATCAACTCTTCTGAATAGACTGGTTTATTTGAAAAACCTTTATTCATCACCATGTCAGTTTCCAACAGAATAAAATGGCGGGGGTAGCCCAGAGGTTAAAGCGTTCGCTCGTCACGCCACATGGTATGTATTCTGGCCCCTGACGTGATATGGCTGGGATATTGCTAAAAGAGGCGTTAAACCGCTTGAGTCATTTTCTATCGGTCCTGGCGATTATTTTTTCACTCGATAGATATTTCCAGGACACGGGTTCCCGTCATTGGTTCAGTTAAGAGCTGGTGTCTAGAGACGTCATCCAGGGTCTAGTTTGGTGCCGGGATTCGGTATGATCTCTTTTAATCATATATTTTATGTTTCCTATTTTCTTCAAGATGGTTCAGGTGTTTTCTTTCATCCCTCTAATGTGCTGTTTACTCAGTCTGTTGTATTTACTTTGCTGTTGTACCGTAACGGTATTTATTAATGTTTATTTTTCTGGTTCTTATATACATGTAGCTGAAAATATTGCGGATTTTATTTATTTATTATATTCTTGCTCTTAACTGTTCCTTGGAGTAGTGGGACGGTGGGGTAGCCTAGTGGTTAAAGCGTTGGCTCGTCACGCCGAAGACCCGGGTTCGAATCCCCACATGGGTACAATGTGTGAAGCCCATTTCTGGTGTTCCCCGCCGTGATGTTGCTGGAATATTGCTAAAAGCGGCGTAAAACCAAACTCAGTCAGTCAGTCAGTCCTTGGAGTAGTTTTAGGTGTATTTTCAAAATGAAGACGTGCATCCATGAGAACGCTTTTATAATCACCATATAGATTCTGAAAACAGATTTTCAGCAACATTCGCTAACTTAGTTATGATTAATCAGAGTTCAGTATTCACATAAACCTATGTCCTGGAGTCAGTGGTGTGAGCATATCCAAGACAGTGTTCCTTGTTAATGTTCGTTGATCAATACAATTGCGAAGTTATCTAGACGTTTTCATATTTAGCGACACTTTCTAGCTTATTAGTTAGAATATATGCGTTACATACAGGTAGGTAGAAGTAGTTTAAATTGTTTCTGTTGAGTTTTCAATGGGTAGTTATGTCCGTGCTTTCACAAGGGAGATAACTGTGTTTCATGAAGGGTTTGGGTTTTCCTGGGTATGACACATATGTTACTTTATACTTTCCACAGTAGTGCGCAATCGTCACTGATTAAACATCTTATAGTTTGTAATGTTCAGCTGTATATGGCTGAGAATAAAATAAAGTGAGCAGTATTCCAATGTTCGTAGAAGATACAGTTGTTGTTTCTTTCTCAAATTTGTGTTTTTAATATCATAGATAATAGACATCATATTTTTACATGACATGATTAACACGTACATTACTGGTTATAACTCAACTTTCCCCACAACACAGCGAAAGCAATTATAAACTCTAAAGCTATCTGCCAAAATTGAGTAATATTTCGAAGGCACAAGTCTTCAAAAGACAGGTAAAGCGTCGTCTCCATATTAGGGAAATTGGATATATCATACAACAGAGGGTTCAGCTATATCAGCACCAGGGTCTGAGCCATCATTCTAACCCTGGAATCTGTCTGTTTGTGTTAAGGTGTGGAGAAATAACCAACTTCAAGTATTTTGGTTATAAACCAAACATCCTCCGACAAATTGGGATCACAACTTAATAATCATTATGGTTGGTGTAAAAGCCAAAATATGAACCTGTGGAATGCCAGTGCGTGTTGTTATCGTTCCTCAGATACATGAACTGAAAAAGAGGAAACAGAATTGGAATAACCCAATTTGTCCCCTCCAGCTGACATTCCAAAATCTGGAGGGGCGGTGGGGTAGCCTAGTGGTTAAAGCGTTGGCTCGTCACGCCGAAGACCCGGGTTCGAATCCCCACATGGGTACAATGTGTGAAGCCCATTTCTGGTGTCCCCCCGCCGTGATGTTGCTGGAATATTGCTAAAAGCGGCGTAAAATCAAAACTCAGTCAGTCAGTCCAAAGTCTGGATACCTTGCATGAAATGTTTCTAACTGAAAACACACGACTACTACATGTAAACATCGGTACTGTACATTGTATGATCAAAGAACATGGTATGTGTGATATATCAAATTATGCCACATAAGAGGCCATTGTGTTAAATGAGGAAGAAATCTGTTAATACAATTGATCGTTACTGTCAGCTTTTAGCGTGACTCCTAAACATGACGAAATTTCCGTTCCTTTTTCTACCGGATTCTAAAGCTCAACACAAAACCACAGCAAAGCCATATCGTGTATTTGTAAACGATCAGCGATTAGACAACGTTGTGTTGATCACATTCTTTTATTGTACGGAGCAAAGACACCATCTCCGACGTCCCGCGCAACAATGATCTATAAATAGCCAGACGACTTCCGAGAACGGGCTCTTTCCTTGAAAACTTCCCTTCCATTGAAATGGTTGTGAGCATTTAATCAATGTGAGCGACTGTAGGCGAGGTAGATCGCCTTGAGTGAGGGATACTGCAGGTGACGTGTGAAGAGCATGTAGCCTTGCAAGTAAACATATACTAGTTGGACGAATATGCTTATGTTCAACGATTCATTGATGCATTCATGATTAGTTGATGAGGGAGGGAGAGGTGTCATTTTAGCTGTCAGAATCAGTTCGTTACCGTGCATGAGGAGATTCTTTGATTCCGATGATGACGATGATAATAATGATGACGATGATGATAATCCGGGCCCAGTTACCTGTCTGGAAGTGAGGTGTGTCTACATGATTGAGCGAAAGTGGCTGTTCACAGAAATGATCAAATGAATCCTGAGCGAAATGTCTATAAATAAACGGAAAGCGGGACAACAAGGGTCGGTATAACATTAATCTACATGACACACCTGTTACGAATACATGTCAAACACTAAATATTCCGCACGGCGACCCCAGTATAGCATGCAAAAACACACCACAATCATTCTATGCAAGTCCAAACAGTACAACAAAGGAACCCTCCCAAGGAATGGGTTCACCTGCACCTTCAGTCATCAGCTTCGAAGGTGACCTAATTACGGACGTCAACATTCCTACTTTCGATATAAAGACTGGCAGACATTTGCATTCATTGAAAAGCACAGAGCTACATTTGAGTAAGTAGAAGATTCACTTGTATTACACCCCTTCTTGATCCCCTTCCATGGTTCTATGCGCATTTTGGGACATGTGACATTGGCGGATCCAGAGGGGGGGATGGTTTTTTTTGCGTTGGCCGAGCCAATGGGGGTTTGAACACCCTGAACCACCCTGCCGATGTGTGACTGTGTCGAGAACGATACAGGTGTGTTACAGGGGATCGATGGTGTTCACGCTTATGCATATTACGGAGGCTAGGAGCGAATCGATTATAGTTATGGCGTGTTTGAAACAGATCCCTCAAACACCAATCTAAATACTTATCGTAATAGAAATATGATATATCTATATGTTAGTAATTACCTCGGACTACACGGAAACAACATGTGAGTTTCGCGGTATATAAACGTCGGAGGCGGAACTGTAGAAATCACCAGAGTCCATTGTCGTTGTAGTGTGTTATCTTTTGGGAATATGTAGCAAATCTTTATAAATTATTTTGAATTTGAAATTAAACTGTAAACCCGGAAGTAAAAACCGCTCAATGTATGGCCATGTCCTCTAAACTGATATATGGAGTCTATACACCTTCCGATATTCATAAAACGTGTAGCTCATGCATGGTAATGCGGATGTCATCCCGTGTTCATCTGTGGTGATTCACAACAGGGAGCGACATGAACACATCTTTGAACTACGTTTCATTCTTCCTACAAACGCATCATTCATTTTTTCTGTATATTTCTACCACTGTATCAATTATGTAGGGAGACAGAGTAAATACATTGTGTTCAGTGTGCAAAGAAGTATCGATGCAAAATTTACACATACGAGGTGTTAATGCAACATTTATGTAACCAATAGCTTAATGATAACACACCGTAATAGACATTAGAATAGGGGTGTTTCAATAACACTTCAGTTTCTAAGTACCAATCTTATACTTATTCATTTTATGCATGTTTCTAAGCATAATTTTCGCATAACAAAGAAATGAATTTCTTATTTCAATCTTTCTAAATTGTCGTCGATCCATTATTATTCTCAAATAATGTCCTTCTCTTCATAGCCTTGTAGGGACTGCTTCCACACACAGTAAAAGGTTCAGGATATAAATAACTCGGTTCTGTCTGAACTATTGTGCGAAGCAGCAGAGGATGTCTGATCTAGATCCGGGCACAACGAGTGGGGAAGATCTTGTGGAAGAACCCCAGCCTGCTGGCGCAGAAGGGGGCGTGGCACAACCACCAACTGCTCAACAACAAGGTGGGACAAAGTCCATTTATAAGGAACATAGCTTGAGTGAGTGAGTGAAGAAATATCGTCACATCGGCAATATTCAGCCATATCGTTACAATGACATATGTTGAGACAGGTGTACAAGACAATCGACAGGGTCAAGCTTGCACGGTGGCTCCAGGATATATAAATATCTCCACAACAAGTACGTCACCTGTACTGAATTAGGAGAAAAATACTGTTTACATTTTTTGGCATTCACTTTGAAGATGAGATAACCGTATTTCAATTTGGACCAAAGGGTTTTTAAGATAGAGTGTATCTTATTAAAAATGATATTACCTTACACGTCTAAAGTGTCTTAATATACACGCTTATACCATTCTCCAAAGTGTGTATGCATGTCCTTTCGTCGAGTTTTCTGGTCGATTGATTTGAAAAAAATAAATATTATAAATCATTGTCATTTGTTTGAAATACGTCATGACAATATATTGTTCCCTGTCGTGGCTTGAAACAAAATCAAAATCTAGCTGTTAACGATTATTTTGATTCTTTTAGCGGAGTGAGGCAGGGGTGCATTTTCAGTCCGTTGTTGTTTTCCTTATTTATCAATCTGCCTCATGGTGGAATGGAGAAATCGGATAGGTGTATCTTCATTTGCAGAGTTTTGGGAATTATATATTTTGCTGCATGTAGATGACCTGTGTTTATTTTACGATAGTGTTACTGGTTTGCAAAGGAAAATCAATTAATTGGTAAAATCTTGTCAAAGATGGGGATTGACTGTTAACGTTGACACAACAAGTCTTGGTTTTTCGAAATGGTGCCAAACTTAGGAAAAGTGGGTTTGTTTGTTTGAGGGTCAAAGATTGAAGATTTCAACGTATTGCAACTATTTAGGTTCGCTGTTTTCCAGTAAGCTTTCGTGATCAAAGTCTGTTCAAAATCGTGTCAATAAAGCTGCTAATGCTTTATCCTCATACAAACTGAGAAATATATTTCCAATAGTTCTCTTTAAAATATTTGATGTTTAGATAAAGCCAATTATATTATATGCATCAGAAATATGGGGTTATCAAAGGTGATCCATAATTGAACAATGTCATGTAAGGTTTTCCAAATTTGTAATGGGTTTGAGATATAAAGCTACTAATGTTGCTGTTTTAGCAGAGTGTGGTAGACTTTATATTTATTTTGATTCGTTGTTGAGAGTAATTAAATATTGGTTTAGATTGCTTGACATGGCCGTGGATAGGCACCCTAAACAGAGCTACCTTATGTTGTATAATTTAGATAAAGTTGGACGTTGAACGTGGAAGTATTATGTTAGATCTATCTTAAATTTAGTGGGTTCGGATTTGTTTAGGAGAACCAAGGTGTTGTTGGAGTCAAGGAGGCTTTTCTATTCAATTTTGAAACAAAGATAAGGAATTACCACGTTCAATCAATAATGGCTGAAAATAATTCATGTTCAACATTACATTTATATCTTAAAATATAACTGTGTTCTGTTTAGAAAAGTATCCTGTAAACATAAAATCAAAGAAGTAAGTGAGTGAGTTTAGTTTTACCCCGCACTCAGCAATATTCCAGCAATATAGCGGCGGTCTGTAAATAATCGAGTCTGGACCAGACAATGCAGTGATCAACAGCATGAGCATCTATCTGCGCAATTGGGACCCGATGACATGTGTCAACCAAGTCAGCGAGCCTGACCAAAAATCAAAGAAAATAGACGTAGGATTACTGTACTAAGAATTAGTGAGCTACCCATTTATTAACATATTGGAAGACGAAACGGTATTCAAGTATCGCCGTTGTAAGATATGTAAATCAAATTATGTAAAGGAGTTTTTATTAATGTCCAGTATATAAAGAATTACGTGTTAAATACTTTGAAAATGTACCTATGTACATCAATGAAGATGTCATGATCTATAATCTTCAAAATGATAATCCAATTCATTTAGTGTCCATCTCAGATTATGTTAAAGATGCCTTGATATTGCGCAATTCATTTGTCAGCAACTCATAAATGTATTTCATATGTTTGTACTTGGGCCGAATGCTTTTCTACTGAATAAAAGATTTATATAAAATCTAGCCCATGTTCACGTGTTCATGGGTTTTTCTTTTAGAGATAAGCAGTAAATCAATAACATCATCAACATAAAAATAGGAATATTGGTATTTTTATGATTGATATCTCATCAATATGTCAATGAATAGATACATCATTATTCATAATTTCAAAATTTACATATATCCCTAACTATTTTTGTCAAGTACAAGTGCAGAATGTGAACCTAATAATGAATGTGAACCTAATAATGACACACACATGCAGTCAGGAATGAAATTGTTTCACTGTATTGTGTGATATTGTTCTTACACTGATATTTAGTTACATATAACTCCAGTCTGTTTACTTCCAATCAGATTCATCATGCTGAGTTCAAGATGGAATTAAATTGTTGCTTAGGATGTCCTTCCCCCACTCACCACCTGAGGTTATTGACAGCAATGTGACATGTGACCGGGGTTTATCTCAATACACAATAATGCTGTATTGTCTTTATCAGGGCAAGAGGGGGGTAGATGTGACCTGACCCCAGATGTGTCCCCGTCTCCAAGACATGAAAGGTTTAGAAGTTCCAACCAGATTGAAAATTGGATACTCGTGAGCAGAGGTACTTTTCTCCGATTCTGATATTAATGTTGTTCGAATTTGTATCAAGTATTTCACATCCTAAGTTAACGAAGTCAAATAGCCTCGTATACACACGCACACACACTTGCACACACACACACACACACAGAGTGAGAGACTCACACACAGAGAGAGTGAGAGAGACTCACATACAGAGAGAGTGAGAGAGAGACTCACATACAGAGAGAGTGAGAGAGAGACTCACATACAGAGAGAGTGAGAGAGAGACTCACATACAGAGACAGTGAGATAGAGACTCACATACAGAGAGAGTGAGAGAGAGACACACATACAGAGAGAGTGAGAGAGAGACTCACATACAGAGACAGTGAGATAGAGACTCACATACAGAGAGAGTGTGAGAGAGAGAGAGAGAGAGAGAGAGAGTGAGAGACTCACATACAGAGAGAGCGAGAGGGAGACTAACACACAGAGAGGGTGAGAGTGAGACTCAGGCACAGAGACAGTGAGAGAGAGACACATACAGAGAGAGTGAGAGAGAGACTCACATACAGAGAGAGTGTGAGAGAGACTCACAGAGAGAGAGAGTGAGAGAGACTCACATACAGAGAGAGTGAGAGAGAGACTCACATACAGAGAGAGTGAGACAGAGACTCACATACAGAGAGAGTGAGAGAGAGACTCACATACAGAGAGAGTGAGAGAGAGACTCACATACAGAGAGAGTGAGAGAGAGACTCACATACAGAGAGAGTGAGAGAGAGACACAGAGAGAGAGAGTGAGAGAGTGACTCACATACAGAGAGAGTGTGAGAGAGACTCACATACAGAGAGAGTGAGACAGAGACTCACATACAGAGAGTGAGAGAGAGACTCACATACAGAGAGAGTGAGATACTCACATACAGAAAGAGCGAGAGAGCTGCTCACATACAGAGAGAGTGAGAGAGAGACTCACATACAGAGAGAGTGAGAGACTCAGACACAGAGAGAGAGAGACTCATATACAGACAGAGTCAGAGAGAGACTCACATACAGAGAGAGTGAGAGAGAGACTCACACAAAGAGAGAGTGAGAGAGAGACTCACATACAGAGAGAGTGAGAGATACTCACATACAGAGAGAGTGAGAGATACTCACCTACAGAGAGAGTGAGAGACTCAGACAGAGAGAGAGTGAGAGAGATAGACTCACATACAGAGAGTCAGAGAGAGACTCACATACAGAGAGAGTGAGAGAGAGACTCACATACAGAAAGAGCGAAAGAGAGAATCACATTCAGTGAGAGAGAGACTCACATGCAGAGAGAGTGACAGACTCAGACACAGAGTGAGAGAGAGACTCGCACACAGAGAGTGAGAGTGAGACTCAGACAGAGAGACTGAGAGAGAGACACATACAGAGAGAGTGAGAGACAGACACTGACATACAGAGAGAGTGAGAGAGAGACTCACACTCAGAGAGAGTGAGAGACAGACACTGACACACAGAGAGTGAGAGAGAGACTCACACTCAGAGAGAGTGAGAGACAGACTCACACACAGAGAGAGTGCGAGACTCACATACAGAGAGAGTGAGAGTGAGACTTAGACACACAGAGAGTGAGAGAGACACATACAGAGAGAGTGAGAGAGAGACTCACATACAGAGAGAGTGTGAGAGAGACTCACACACAGAGAGAGTAAGGGAGAGACCCACATACGGAGAGAGTGAGAGAGAGACTAAGACACAGAGAGAGTGAGAGAGAGACTCACATACAGAGAGAGTGTGAGAGAGACTCAGATACAGAGAGTGAGAGAGAGATTCACATACAGAGAGAGTGAGAGAGAGACTCACATACAGAGAGAGTGAGAGACAGACTCACATACAGAGAGAGTGAGAGAGAGACTCAGAGAAAGTGAGAGAGACTCACATACAGAGAGAGTGAGAGAGACTCACATACAGAGAAAGTGTGAGAGACTCACATAGAGACAGAGTGAGAGAGAGAATCACACACAGAGTGAGAGAGAGACTCACATACAGAGAGTGAGAGACTCAGAGACAGAGAGAGTGAGAGAGAGACTCACATACACAGAGAGAGAGAGAGACAGAGAGAGAGAGACTCACATACACAGAGAGTGAGAGAGAGACTCACATACAGAGAGAGTGAGAGAGAGACTCACATACAGAGAGATTGAGAGAGAGACTCAGACACAGAGAGAGTGAGAGAGAGACTCACAGAGAGAGTGAAAGAGACTCACATACAGAGAGAGTGAGAGAGACTCAGACACAAAGAGACTGCGAGAGAGACACTCACAGACAGAAAGAACGAGAGAGAGAATCACATTCAGAGAGAGTGAGAGAGAGATTCACATACAGAGAGAGTGAGAGACTCAGACACAGAGAGAGTGAGAGAGAGACACATACAGAGAGAGTAAGAGAGAGACTCACAAACAGAGAGAGAGAGAGAGAGACTCACATACAGAGAGTGAGAGAGAGACTCACATACAGAGAGAGTGAGAGAGACTCAGATACACAGAGGAGAGAGAGGAGGCTCACATAGAGACAGACTGAGACAGAGACTGACATACAGACAGAGTGAGAGAGAGAATCACTCACAGAGTGAGAGAGAGACTCACATACAGAGAGTGAGAGACTCAGACACAGAGAGAGTGAGAGAGAGACTCACATACACAGAGAGTGAGAGAGAGACTCGCATACAGAGAGAGTGAGAGAGAGACACATACAGAGAGAGGGAGAGAGACACTGACATACAGACAGAGTTAGAGAGAGACTCACACTCAGAGAGTGAGAGAGAGACTCACACAGAGAGAGAGAGTGCGAAACTCACATACACAGAGAGTGAGAGTGAGACTTAGAGACACAGAGAGAGAGAGAGACACATACAGAGAGAGTGGGAGAGAAACTCACACACAGAGAGAGTGTGAGAAAGACTCACATACAGAGAGAGAGAGACTCACATACAGAGAGAGTGAGAGAGATACTCACATACAGAGAGAGTCAGAGAGAGACTCAGACAGAGAGAGTGAGAGAGTGACTCACATACAGAGAGAGTGAGAGAGACTCACAGAAAGAGTGAAAGAGACTCACATACAGAGAGAGTGAGAGAGACTCAGACACAGAGAGAGTGAGAGAGAGACTCACATACAGAGAGAGTGAGAGAGAGACTCACAGAATCAGAGAGTGTGAGAGAGACTCACATTCAGAAAGTGAGAGAGAGATTCACATACAGAGAGAGTGAGAGAGAGACTCACATACAGAAAGAGCGAGAGAGACTCAGACACAAAGAGACTGCGAGAGAGAGACTCACATACAGAGAGTGAGAGAGAGACTCACAGACAGAAAGTGAGAGAGAGACTCACACACAGAGAGAGTGAGAGAGAGACTCACACACAGAGAGAGAGAGAGACTCACACACAGAGAGAGTGAGAGAGAGACATACAGAGAGAGTGAGAGAGAGACTCACAAACAGAGAGAGAGAGAGAGAGACTCACATACAGAGAGAGTGAGAGAGAGACTCACATACAGACAGAGTGAGAGAGAGACTCACACACACAGAGAGTGAGAGAGAGACTCACATACACAGAGAGTGAGAGAGAGACTCACATACAGAGAGAGTGAGGGAGAGACTCACACACAGTGAGAGAGAGACTAACATACAGAGATAGTGAGAGCGACTGAAATACAGAGAAAGTGACAGAGACTCACATACAGAGAGAGTGAGAGAGACTCAAACAGAGAGAGTGAGAGAGAGAGACTCACATACAGAGAGAGTGAGAGAGACTCACAGAGAGAGAGTGAGAGAGACTCACATACAGAGAGTGAGAGACAGACTCACATACAGAGAGAGTGAGACAGAGACTCACAGAAAAAGCGAGAGAGAGAATCACACTCAGAGAGAGTGAGAGAGAGACTCACATATAGAGAGAGTGAGAGAGAGACTCACACTCAGAGAGAGTTAGAGAGAGACTCACACTGAGAGAGAGTGGAAAGGCTCACATACACAGAGAGTGAGAGTGAGACCTAGACACACAGAGAGTGAGAGAGAGACACATACAGAGAGAGTGAGAGAGAAACTCACATACAGAGAGATTGAGACAGAGACTCACATACAGAGAGTGAGAGATAGACTCACATACAGAGAGAGTGAGAGACTCACATACAGAAAGAGCGAGAGAGCTGCTCACATACAGAGAGAGTGAGAGAGAGACTCACATACAGAGAGAGTGAGAGACTCAGACACAGAGTGAGAGAGAGACTCACATACAGACAGAGTCATAGGGAGACTCACATACAGAGAGAGTGAGAGAGAGACCCACACAAAGAGAGAGTGAGAGAGAGACTCACATACAGAGAGAGTGAGAGATACTCACATGCAGAGAGAGTGAGAGAGACTCACCTACAGAGAGAGTGAGAGAGTCTCAGACAGAGAGAGAGTGAGAGAGAGAGACTCACATACAGAGAGAGTGAGAGAGACTCACAGATAGAGAGAGTGAGAGAGACTCACATACAGAGAGTCAGAGAGAGACTCACATACAGAGAGAGTGAGACAGAGACTCACATACAGAAAGAGTGAGAGAGAGAATCACATTCAGAGTGAGAGAGAGACTCACATACAGAGAGAGTGACAGACTCAGACACAGAGTGAGAGAGAGACTTGCACACAGAGAGTGAGAGTGAGACTCAGACAGAGTGAAACTGAGAGAGAGACACATACAGAGAGAGTGAGACAGACACTGACATACAGAGAGAGTGAGAGAGAGACTCACACTCAGAGAGAGTGAGAGAGAGACTCACACACAGAGAGAATGCGAGACTCACATACAGAGAGAGCGAGAGAGGAGACTCAGATACACAGAGAGAGAGAGAGACTCACATACAGAGAGAGAGGGGACTCAGAGAGAGACTCACATACAGAGAGAGAGAGAGAGAGACTCACATACAGAGAGAGTGAGAGAGAGACTCACATACAGAGAGAGTGAGAGACTCACATACAGAGAGTGAGAGAGAGAGACTCAC